TAACTTTGACATTGTGTTTTGAAACAACTCACCTTGAAAAGCCAGAGGCACCAGGTGGTAAGACATTAGATTATGCGATGGGTGGTATGGGTGGAGGCCAAACTCATGCTCTCCTCCTGAACCGCAGCAGCTCTGCTGTCGGAGGGATGGTAAAGCTGCCTTCGTGCTCTCTTGAGGAATGAGACAGCACCTAAAACTAAGTGCATCTCGACACCCAGGTGACTCTCCAGACAGTAGACTGTTGAAGAGTCACTATATTTATAACATTTTGTCTAAAAGCTTTTGCAAAAGTTTCTCAAGCCATTCATTATTTAGATAATTCAGAGTGCATGCTTCCAAAGTCACTCTAAAAATAGAACCCGTTTCCCCTGTCTGGTCGGTGCTGGTGCCCGAGTGTGGGCTTCGTGCCTCGCAAGGAAGAAGCATTTACTGGTTTAGCAGCAAACAAAGGTTATTCTTCTGTCTCTCTGTTTAGAGTTGGGAGATTGACCTTGATTTGTAATACATGAAGATGTAATCATTCCATGTCCTTACTCTTAAATTCTTTTTCTGTGGGTTACGTTCTAATGCCTCTGGTACTTCTCTTCCATTTGTCTTGAGAAATTCTCAATATAATTTTCTTGGAAGTTGCTCCTTAATGCTTTCTAGGACATGGGTAGCACTGGATGGTTATCATTTGCTGGAGTTAAGTGGCTTTTAAACTCATGATGGTGGCACGCAAAAAGAAATTAATTTGACATCACAACTTAGTACACGCACTCACCTGTGTATGTAATTGAAAGAAATTCCTCGAAACAGTACTTACTTACATTTCATGTGAGGCTCTAATATTTTTTATTCCATTATATCTAGTTTGTTTTAATGCTTCTTGTGAACTACTAGTGGGATTGCAACTCACAGTTTAAAAAGCGCTGCTTTAATGTATAGCTCCTATATTACACACGGGTCATTTTACCTTCCAAGAATCGCCCGTCCTTTCTGATATACCTTTCCTAAAGAGCCTTCACGACCCCAGCTTTACGTGCCAGCACCCCTTACTTCTGGTGATGTCCTCCCCACATAGTCCCCCTCCTCCCCTGCAGCTTCGATGTGAAATGCACAGAGTCCTAGCCTAGCTCTTGCACAGTGACCTCTGTGGTCATCAGTACGTAGTAAGATTCAGATCATATCCTTCGAGTGGAATTCTAACCTAAAGATCAAAAGTCTGTGGTGTTTCTTGAATGGATGTGTTCTTTGAGAAATTGCCTCTCGTTTATTTCGCGAGGACAGCTAAGCCTGGTGTCCACTTCAGTGCTGGCATCTCTGGCCCGGTGCGCACAATGAGAAATGCCCGAGGGCTGTGTTAGGGTTTCACTGGAGCTATTGTGATCATCCCCAGGCTTTGGGGTCCGGTGATATTCACACATACCTCTCACATACCTCTCCATGGCCTCTCAAGGGCACACACTTGTCCCTTTCCTTCGGAGGAGTGGTCTTGAATGTAGTTAATCGTCATTTGGAACACACACTCTAAGAGAGAGACTGTTTGGTATATTTATTTCACTTTTCCAGTAATGGAATATAGATTTTTGTTTCACCTTATGTGACACATTTCAAGGGCTCCATTTTGCATTGTCATTATGTTGGGAAAATATTTGATGGCTTGTCAGAAGGGAACATTTATAATTGTGTTGCTAACCTGCACATTTTCAGCCTCTAGGATAGTGTGACAGGTAATTGAGGTTGAAATTGACAACAGTTACCACTTAAAAATAAGCACAAGAAATGCCAGTACATACTGTGTGAGTTGAAACTAATTTGGTGTTTTGTAAGCTCTTAGGGTTAACATGCCTGATGGAAATAATTTTGTAATGGAAATTATTTAAGTGACTTGATTAATGTATTTTTATAAAATTGGTGCAAGGTGTCATCCTGTGGCAGTGATGACCTAACGGTGCTCTGAGGGCCTCAAACCTTGGCTCTCCAGGGCCCGCAGGTAGGGATCCTGCCATATCAGCACAGCCAGGTGGCCTTGAAATACTCCAGCTTCTCATTTTGGTGCAAAGGCCACTAGTAGGCCCTCTGGTCCCTCCTAGATCTCCTCTGTGGTATTGAAGGCACATTTAATGTTGGTGTAGTGTCACTAACCTAAATATTTTACATCGCCTGAAATGTCTGTGCTTTTGGCAACAGTGGGATGTTTTGAAACCTAGATCTCACCAACATGTTCCACTGACTGGCGAATCACTTCTTTAAGCCAGTACCTCTTGACCATGTGCTGCTCTATACACTTGATCCCTATTTTATTTTTAAAATGATTTTATTACAGTCGCCCTTGATGTAAACCAGAAAATAAGAGCCTTCTGTTTACTTTAAGGGTGAGGTTCCTCCGTCTTCGTCTGTTTTAGGAATTGTTTTTTCAATGTAATGAGAAAACTTGTTAAGGTACAAGTGAAGCCGCCTAGCTTTGCAGTGAGTACCACTGGGATCCCGTAAACTTCAGAACAGGAGGTTGTGTTAAGGATAACATCCCAGATGAGCGTTTTAGCAGAACCCCCTTCCCCGAAGTCTCATAAGCTGTGCTCTCATCAGAGTCCCTTCTCATCCACACTGTTGAGAGCCAGCATCCCGATGAGAAGCCCAAAGCTGGTACACAGCCACGCTTTCCTGCCCATTATTGGGATGGGGACAGTGTATTAGTTAAGAGCCCAGACTCTGGAACCAGTCTACCCAGCTAGGAACCTCTCTGGTCTCTAGGTTCCCCATCTGTAAAATGGGTATAATAATGGTGCCCACCTACTACAGCTGCCGTGAGGATTAGATGAGGCCTTGCCACAGCACTTGCTTTGCTACTGTAGCCCTGAGAAGCAGGTGCCTGTCTCTTGGTTCAGATGGTGAACTCATCTGATGGGTTTAGAACTCTAACATCTCCCAAGCAAAACAACACGGGCACATGGATGTTTTGTGAATTTTGGTTAAAATGCACTTAGGTTAACGATCGACAGATAGCTATTCAAACAAAGCAGATTATGAAACGGAGCTTCAGGTAAGACTGTCTTCTTCTGATGGTTGCATCCCCGTGTCCTGTTCCTTCACAGCATCAGTACCAGTAGCAGGAGGGGAGAGGGGACAAGTGGTAGGACCTCACTACTCTCATTAGGTGGACACACAATTTATGGTCAGGAATCAGACATTTCTGTGTGTGTGGGTTTTTTGTTTTTTTTTTTGGCTGTGTTGAGTCTTCGTTGTTGCACGCGGGCTTTCTCTAGCTGCGGTGAGCGGGGGCTGCTCTTCGTTGTGGTGCGCGGGCTTCTCATTGCGGTGGCTTCTCTCGTTGCAGAGCACAGCCTCTAGACACGCGGGCTTCAGTAGTTGCAGCATGTGGGCTCTAGAGCTCAGGCTCAGGAGTTGTGGCGCACGGGCTTAGTTGCTCCGCGGCATGTGGGATCTTCCTGGACCAGGGCTCGAGCCCGTGTCCCCTGCATTAGGAGGCGGATTCTTAACCACTGCGCTACCAGGGAAGTCCCCATTTCTGTGTTTTTGATCGTGGAATTAACTGACATTTACACTGGCTTTACAGTTAAATCAGACAAATTCAGAATGGGACTGCTCCCTAATTCTTTGGACAGTGAAGATGTCCACTTTCTGGGCCTTGTGCTGACCGCTGCTTGTTAAGACATACAGCATCGGCACCTGACGGCCATATGCTCGGTGAGGTATCCATGGTGGGCTGAGGCAGACGTAGCTGAGAAAATACAAGAAAGCGGAGTCTTGTCAGAAGGATGGGGGCTCTTCTCCTGCTTTGTGCACGCTCAGCCAGTAGTAACTGATTTTTCATTATCCTTCATGTATTGTTTAGAGGACACAGATCGTTTTCTAGTTAATCACATAAAAGGAAATTCTAAGCGTGGAGCAAATCATTTCAGTAAATTTTGTTCACGTTTATCTGCTGCTCCTTTTCAAATGCAAGAAGAGAATGTTTTCAAGTGTGCTTCAAAAGCGTGTTTTATAAATTAGAAAATTTCATAGGAAACCAGTAAGGAGTGAAAACAAGAGCCCAGGATCCGGAGTGAGGAGGTCAGGATTGTCTCTTGGGCTTTTCCCCAGGCTAGCAGTAGGACACGTCTGATATGTCTGAAGAACTTTCCAGCTATAATAGGCATTTTGAATGTGGTAGAAGCAACTGCGTGTTTTTACGGGTAACAGAAGTCGTCGTGTTCCTTCTGGTTCACATCGCAGGTCATCTAAGCATCAGAGGCTCTGACACAAGCCCTCCTACAGCAGGACATTGTGTCAGCGTGACCTACTGGACACCCCGTGGTCTAGACCAGGGACCCCTGACCCTGAGTTATGACTTCCGGTGCTTCCCAGAGTCTGAAAGGGCACCTGTGAGCTTCTCCACGTGCATTTCATCGAGGTCTGTGTGGGAGACGGAGAGGGGAAGAAGCACAGTGTGTCCAAAAATGTAACCAGTAGCTCATGCGTGATCTTGGATTCTGAAGCAGTGTACTTACTAGACTGAAAGTTCAGTGCCATTTTTTAATAAGTAATGTATAAGGTATATTAATAACTGGACTCTTTCCCAAGACTCTCAGCTCTCAAGGAGCTCTTTTGTTTATAGCACTTAATAAATATTCGTGAAAATGGTCCCAACATTTCTTTACCATCTTGTCTTTAAACTGGGCAAGGTGTGCCCCCAAACCCTCCGGGGTCCCAGGTGTCCCTTCCCTGACCGATCACATGCTCCCCAGGTCCGAGAGAGGATTTGTCTCCAATGGGTTGGGTGGTAGATGCCCTGCAGAGTCTCAGGTAGCTCAAGGTCAGGTGTGTGAGGCCTTGGGCTCACTGGTCTCCGAGGCGACGGCTGTCTGTGCCTCACCTGGGTCTCTGCCTTCAACCCATCCCCCCTGCTCTCCCATGTCAGGCCCTGGACCTTTCTCTATTTGTAAAGAAACACTTTTAAGAATGCTGACACTCAGCAAATAGACGGAAACATTAATTCTTTTCTCTCTTCTCAACAGACACGAGACGACTTCCTGGGACAGGTGGACATACCCCTTAGTCATCTCCCGGTAAGAACGGTCACCTGCTTGACAGCGCGTGCTCTGAGCAGCAGTTTCTAACCGTCTGCAGTTTGGGTGTATTTTCAGGGCGGCATTTCCTCAACACAGTGGAGAAGCGTGTGTACCCTGGCCCTGGCCCTTTCTAGAAGGTGGTCCTTTCAAGGGGATAGGAGATAGCTTAACTGTAAAAATCAAGTGCATCTGAGCCATCCACGGATGCCTGGCAGCGTCACTGGCTGCTTTCTCGTCTGCTCCTTAGTTTGTCTTCCTTTGTCAGCTACCTGCTTCTGTCAGACCCCTCCTCCTTGTCACTGGAATGTCCCTGCTTTCAAGTTCACCTCTTGGGTCTAATCAAACGCCTGTTCCCTTTGTCTGGAATGGTACCTGCTGTTTCTCTTGGGCTACATCTATACAAGCTAATGTTTCCATGGCCTTTCTCAGTCGGCACAGAGACAAAAGAAAAGATGCTCTTGGTACTGAGTGAACTTGTCAGCCGGAAACACCCACTCTGGCTTCAGAAGTTGTACTGGGTTAGCATGTGTGGCGTTGCTACCATTCCTCTCCACTCAGACGAGCAGCAAAACAGTTGGGGCTGTTGACATTAACTGAGCTTAAAGGTGACTCTCGCACGTTCCAGTATCGATAGGATGGGGGTCCAAGACCTCCCTGGTGAGAGGTAGATGGTCTCGTGCTCCACCTCCCGGCCCCCCTTCCCCGGGACAGCACGAAGTGCCTAGAGTAGCACCTGAGAGAGGATAAGTCACACATTTCTGCCTTCCAAGGGCATTTTATTATGTTTTTAAACGCTTCATGTGAGCAAATAGTATAAGTAGCCTATACACTAAAAGAACTCAAACCACCTAGTGTGAGCCTCCTGCTGTGTTGAAACTCTAGCTATTGGCTGTTAAAGACCAAGAAAGACTGTGTCTCACCCAGGAAGCTGTGAAGCTCTGTTGGGAAGGAACACGATGGCAAGCACTGTGTTCTTGCTTACTCAGGGGAGCTGTTAAGGAAGAAAGGTTTCAAGCGCCTTCCCTTCCAAAAGATCGGAATATTTTTAAAGTCACATGGATAGCGTATGGATGTCTCAGCCTTTGTGCAGGAAGACTGTTCACGTATTTCTACATCAGTGGGTCTTCTCTTCATGCTGTTCAGGTTGAAGCTGTAACCGCCTCACATTTTTCGGCAGTGTTGGCTGGTTGGCCAGTTCTTTCATGGGTGTCCCCAACCTCCCTTTTCCACGACATGAAAACCACATCACAGTCAAGGCAAATTATGTATTAGCTCTAAGAGGTATGGGTGAAATTTTTAAACAACTTGCTCCAGCAATCCCTTGAGTGCAGATTGGTTTTGAAAGGTTGAGTGGAACTCCCAGAGAATAGAAGAGTGTTCCTCTTCAGAGACCACATCAGCAGAGGGAACATTTTACCTTTGGATTTCGGTGGAGGCAAGAGTGAGCTTTCAGAGAAGGAAGCGGTGCCAAGGCTCCAGGCTGGAATAGAAGCCAGCCGGTTAAAGAGTGGAAGAGGGAGGGCTTCCCTGGCGGCGCAGTGGTTAAGAGTCCGCCTGCCGATGCAGGGGACACAGGTTCTTGCCCCGGTCTGGGAAGATCCCACGTGCCGCGGAGCGGCTGAGCCCGTGAGCCACGGCCGCTGAGCCTGCGCGTCCGGAGCCTGTGCTCCGCAACGGGTGAGGCCACAGCAGTGAGAGGCCCGCGTACCACGCACACAAAAAAAAGAGTGGAAGAGGGAGAGACCAGAGAGGACTGAGGACTTTCACAGGAGCTGAGCCGGTTGAGAAGTGGAGCCTCCCAGTTTTCAGTCTGTCCCCAGATGAGCTTACACTGGAGTGCTATATCTCCTCCTTAAAACTGACTGGCTTTGTGGAGCCCACTGCAGTCTCCAAGATGGACCACAAAGGGAGCAGAAGGAGAGGTGAAGGTGCATTCTTTATCCTCTTAGTGGTAGGAGAACCCAACTGGCATATTCTGAGTGGATATATGGCTTTGGTCCCAAGATTTGAGGTGCTCTCATATGTATATTTGATCATATGTGTAGGACACTCATGGGAAGATAGCACAGTTAATTTTGTATGATAACACAAGTGTGGGCATGTAAAACAGATGTTAGCATTTGAATATATTTTGTGGATAAATCATGGATGCTCTTTTCTTGATAGCCATATGACCACTGTCAAGGCAGTTTATATATACATGGCTGTGTGGCCTGTGGATTCAGTATTGTTTGATGTCTTCGAAGTTTAGATTAAAGAACTTAGGTCTTACTAATAATGAGAGAAGGTAGTGGAGAGCAGTCATGTGGTGGTGAAGTTGCCATTGCCCACCCTTCCAAGCCTTCTCAAGGCTTAACAAATGGGACTGGGTATTTGGTTATTAATTAATTCTTTACAGCCCCATTTGCTGATAGAGAATTTATTCCTTTAACAGATGTTTACTGATAGGCATAATTCTACTCTCTGATGAAGAATCAGTGAAGCAGGTTCTTCACTCGTGGCTTAGCAGGGCCACCATCACAGTAGCCACATGTGGTAGTCGAGCATTTGAAATGTAGCTAATGTGACTGAAGAACGGAATTTATCTATTTTATTTCATTCTAATTAATTAAAATTTATATTTAAAAAGCCACACGTGGCAAATGGCACCCTATTAGATGGCTCAGGTGAGATGAGACCAGAGTTCTCTGGCTTAGGTGAAAAATACATGATTCTGGATGCCCTTTTCCTAAGATAATAATTCTGGCTGTTGGAGGGAACTGGGGGTGGAGGGATTCCCACACCAAGTTTTATGTGGTGATTTTTCATTCAGCTTTTTTCCTCTACCTGAGGCTGTTTCTCTATAGTTCTACCTATTTAATATGCCAAGAATATTTAATTTAGGTAGAGAAAAGGCCCAGAGATTTGGAATCATAGAAATTAAGATAAAGAAGAGAAGTAATCTTTTGTTACTATCTTTAAAATCTATATTAGCAAAATACCTAATTGCATACACTTCCATCTTGACATATATACACACTTATTTACTACAAGGCATTTTAAGCTTTATCTTGTTGCCCCAAGATAGCATGAACCTTTCTTCCTTTAGAAAAGAGTCATCTCTGCCTTGATTCTGGTCTGAGAAGTTGCAGCATTTGAATGAAGCTCTTTTCTAAATCAGGAACTGGATGGAGAAGATTCAAGACCACAAAACTGAAGTTAATGTAACCTCTCCCGATTGTTAGGAAGTTATCTTTAATCATTTAAATACCCTACTTTGTGGGTTTGGGATGTGCTTTTTGAAAAACATAGTTTAGACCTAGTAACCGATGTTCGCTGAAGAACCTTCTTCCCTTGCTGCAGTCCTAGAGGCCTGTGGGTGCAGCTGCTGGTGGAAAGTGGCATTTGCAGTATCAAACCATGCTCTTAAAATCTTAGGAATGGCTCTCCTAAGCTGTCCTTACTTGCAGCTATAAAGTCCCTGATCCCGAGAAGCCTACCAGGAAGAGCCAGAGGGTCAGGGCACTTGAACACCTCAGACTGGGGCACCACGGGTCCTTCTCGGCCCACTGCCCACTGTTGGGTCTCTGGACAATTGTGTGCCCTTGTGAGCATTGGGACTGTCCGGGTTGGAGTTCTGCCAGGGAGACGAGTGAAGGAGGCCACTTGGAACAGAGGGACGGGGCCGGGAGGGTTGTGTGAAGCTGGGGTGCGCTCTGCGCATTGGAGCCTCACTACCTCGATTACCGAGGGGGCCAGTGTTGGCTAGGTTTTTGTCCTTTAAACAGGAAAGAGTAAAGAGTGATAATGGAAAGAAAAGAAACTTCTTTTTCCCCCTTCGATCATGGATTCCTCGGTGCTTTATCAGATGCTTCCAGATGAAAGAAAATAATTTTGACTTGTCATTCACTTTCATTCTTGGCTCTCAGACCAGTTTTCCCAGTTTTATTTGTGGAAGAAAAAGGATAGGAAATTAGACCCAAGGAATTTAGAATGGTAGGGATCTATTTCCTTTGCTTCTATTCCAAATATGCCACCCGTCTTTAATATTTTTTTCCCTTTTATTTATTATTGAGTGTGGATGGGAGTGAGTAAAAGACGAGGAGGGAAGAGGGAGAGTAAATAAGGTTAGTCACCTGACCTTTTATGCAGATCTGAGAATTAAGAAAACATAGATTCATATTCACGGAAGTCTCCAAATGTCAAGCTTTAAAAGATCTCTCAGGAATAGTTGACTCCGAGCTTGGAGATGGGCAGGTTGCCTTGGTAACCTTAATAAGTTAGCAATCCTTTTCGGGCCTCTGTTTTTCTCACCTATAAAATGAGGGCATACACATAGATGATACCAAGTTTCCATCCAGCTCTGTGAAACAGCACCTTGGCTGTAAGCAGAGGCACGGCGACTGTGATGACATACGTTGTTACCTGGGAGACTTGGGCAGTGTGACGAGCTGGAGGCACGTGGAGGAGAGAGGAGGCGGGGACTGTATTTTAAGCAAGGTAGTCCCACCAGCCTGACGCCTGCAGTGCAACTCAAACTGAGCTCCTCTATTTTATTCTTTTACAGTGTGGCACCAGGAGTGAACTTAGCTGTAACTGTCCTGTTCTTGTAGCATTTTCTTTTCCTATTTCAGGATCTACTCCGTTTTTGGCCGTGCCGCGCGGCACGCAGGATCTTAATTCCCCGACCAGGGATCAGACCTGTGCCCCTGCAGTGGAAGCGTGGAGTCCTAACCACTGGACCACCAGGGAAATCCCTGTAACTGTCCTATTCTTACTGATTTTTTTTTAAAGAACACTATCATTTTTACATCTGTCTGATAATCCTGTGTCATTGCCCAGAAGTTCATACCGGATTTTATGACTTGTCTTTAATAATTACTTAGAGACAAAAATAGCTCCAAGACTCGTATTAACAATGAATTAACAATGAATGACGTTTCTGGTGGGTGTTTGCCTTTTATGCCTCGGAAACTTTCCTTGCCTCGTCCGTCAGTTGCGTCTCCCCTGCCCTTTGAGTCCCAGCGCATTACCCCTACCAGATGCAAAATCTCTGTATCTATGGGAAACACGCTGGGGTTGAGAGAGCTATTTTAAAAACATTAATTTCTCCTATTTTAGTCAAGTGCCACTCAAGGCAACTGAAAAAATTTCAGTTCTCCTACAGTGAGACATTTTTGGGGTGGTGGTGGTATTATTTGGCACCTTAATGGTGCTTGAACGTAACTCAGATGATGAACACCCCTTTTATAATTCCAGCTGGTACCAGGGTAATGGTTCCCTCTCACGTGTACAGAATTCAGTAGCATAGACCTTAGAGGGACTTTAAAGACCATTTATCCACTCCCTGTATTCTACGGGTGAGGACACCTGGGCCCAGAGAGGGAGTTGACTTGCCTAGTGATCAGAAGACTGACCAGACCTTGGGTCTTCAGCCTTGATCTGTGGTGCAGTCAAGGGCCGAGGGGGCAGGGGGGCTCAGTCTAAGGCCTGGGTGGTTTTAGCTGTTGCATCCCTGTTTTGAGTCTAAGGTCCTGATAAGGCCATTCCCTTCCACTTGCCCACAAAGTTATTTACCTCATTACATATATGTCAAAGTAACTGCAGTTCTGTTGAAAGCAGCAAATCTTTTTAAGGTGAAATTGCTGTGTAACCAGAAGATTTTCTTTTGAATGCTCACAGGACATTCAAAAGGGACAGGGGCTTGCAGCATCTGTTTTGGCCGATAATACTGTTAGCATCAACCTGTTTGAGATGGCTTTCTACCATCTCAGTGCTGTCCCGGGAGTCTCCCCTGGGCTTTTCTCCAGGGAATAGGATCCAGCAGGAGCCTGAGTAGTGCCAGGAAGAATCCCGTTGCTATCTGCAAGATAACAGTCTTGTTCACACCGGAGAATGTCCATGGAGGTGAATTTTCATTCTTTAACGCCCTGCCCTTCTGCGGTGTTGAGTCGGCAGTGCTCACAAGTGACATGAAAATGTAGAACTGGTTGATGATGACAATGGCCAACCTTTGTTAAGTTGCCAGGAACCCTTGTGAGAACTTGCTGTGTATTGATACCAGCCCAGATGATTGGTTTAATCGTCACAACTCTGTAAGGTCCTGTTACTGCCCTACTCTGTAGATGAGGGCACCGAGGCACAGAGAGCTAAGGAATTTGTCCTTGGCCACATGGCTCTTAGGTAACAAAGCCAAGACACAGACCCAGGACGTCTGCCTCCTGATGTGTGTGGTGTCTGTCATTTAAACTACGTAGTGTATGGACAGTTCCATTTTTAGAGTCCCGGTAAGTTCTCTGATTTTTTTTTTTTTTGGTCTGAATTTAGAAAATAGTCTAGAGAATATAACTGACTTTCTTGAGTGATGGTGAATTTTTGTGGCCTCGGTACTTTACTGTAGATCAGGTGGGTTGATCGGCTACTTGTACAGGTACTTTGTGTCAGGCGGTGCTCTTGGCACTAAGAATACAGTGGCAAGCGAATCCAAGTCTCTGATCTCATGAGGTTATATTCTACAGGTGATAGATGTTAATAAACTAGTTAATAAATAAATGAGCAAGATAGTTTCAGAAGGTGAAGAGGGGGTGTAAATCAGGGTGCTGTGACAGAGGGTAATAAAGGGAGGCTGTGGTGGCGGTTTAGGATGTGGTGTCTGAAGATGTGACTTGGGATCCCAGACCTGGATGACACAGTGGAGACCGCTGTGGCCATCTGGAGCCAGAGCTGTTCAGTTGAAGGACCTGCCAGAGCAGGATTAGATATGATGTGCACGCGGGACAGAGGAGGTCAGGACGGGTAGAGTGTGGGGTCAGTGGAGAGACTGGTTCACAGTGAGGTTATAGGTAATTAAGAACCACATCAGGGCTTCCCTGGTGGCGCAGTGGTTGAGAGTCCGCCTGCCGATGCAGGGGACACGGGTTCGTGCCCCGGTCCGGGAAGATCCCACATGCCGCGGAGCGGCTAGGCCCGTGAGCCGTGGCCGCTGAGCCTGCGCGTCCGGAGCCTGTGCTCCGTGACGGGAGAGGCCACGACAGTGAGAGGCCCGCGTACCGCCAAAAAAAAAAAAAAAGAACCACATCATGTTTAACCTTATAGGTCCATAGAAAAGAACGTTCAGCATATTATATAAGCAGAGTAGGAAGCCATCGCGAGTTTAAAGCAGAGAGTGACATAAACAGATAATGTTACAAATATAAATGCATATATGTACACACGTACCCTTCTGATACGTAATAAATCATTTTGTGGTTTGTCTCTCTTGCTACAGAAGTAAATGTTTTTAATTGTGTTTAATTAAAGAGTCTAGGTATTTGAAGTTTTACTGCACGTAGTATTTTTAAATCAATGAAATAGTAACATTTATTTTTCCAGTTGCCTGCTTGCTTTGACCATCTGATTTTGCACAATAAAATACTGATTTCTTTCAAAAATGAATAAATACCACCACTACATTCATAGCTTCTTGAAATAAGCACCAGCAAAAGGCTGATGGATGACGCCACCTAGGACAGTCTCTGTGGAGGAAACCGTCTTTCAGATGACATGATATTTTAATGTTAAAAGTAAAGTAAAATCGCGTTCACAGATTGATCTCGCATGTTTTCCTATTAACTGCATTTTTAGGTTTCTTGAATCACAGGGACACGCAGGCAGGCACCAGTGACCCCTGGTTCTCCAGCAGTGTGAGATTGAGCCCTGCACCCAGCAGTTAGAAATTACACTTGGCAATGACGACTACAGTTCTGTAATTTGTCTCAGGCTGAGGTTGGCTCCTAAAAATGGGTGTTGATAGTGACATCTAGTGGATCTTGAGTAAAGCTTTGTGACCTATGAAATGTGTAATTGTCAAGTACTGGGTAAGGAACCAACTCTGTTTTCGCCAGGCTCACGTTCTAAACCCTGCAAATGTATTCTCTGTAATCCACTCGGGTGTATCTGAAATACGAAACTATCAGGAGTATTGAAACTTACTTTTTCTTCCTTTAGACAGAAGATCCAACGATGGAGCGACCCTACACATTTAAGGATTTTCTCCTCCGACCAAGAAGGTGAGGCTTCGGGCCGCTGCCGTTTCTTATGCTTTGGCTCTTGGTTTTCTCTGAGGAGAATTCCAACTTCTTCTCCTATTGCATTTTTTTTTAAAGCATCATAAATATGAGCCATCATAAAGGTGTAACCAAGTCACATCCTTTATAACCGATTTTCTTCCATCATGCAGTCATAAATCTCGAGTTAAGGGATTTTTGCGATTGAAAATGGCCTATATGCCCAAAAATGGAGGTCAAGATGAAGAAAACAGCGAGCAGAGGGATGAGATGGAGGTAAGCTACAGGGCTTCGGGCCGTGGTCTGTTTTCCTTGCCTAAGAGCATATTGATGTTTCACTCTAAGACTTTATAATTTAAGGAAATAAAAGCTTATCAAGCTTAAATGTGAAGAAACTTCAATGTGTCCCTGAATCTACGTCTTTGACAGATCTACCGATGTGTTTGGTTTTTAGCAAAAAAGATGAACTTTTCATTTCATGTTATAACACTAATAATTGAAGAGGGGTCTCTTTCTAAACTGCTATAGCCCTGTTCTATTAACAGCCCACCGCCATGTGAAATTCTCCCCACATATTTAATTCTCTTACTTCTTTGGACTTGCAGCTCTTTGTAAATTCCTTTTAGCACTTGGAATTGCTTCAAGTGGCTAAAATAATTTAGGGGATTCATCCAGGTTTCTTACTCATTTGGCCCACAGGTGAGAGTGTGCATGAGGTAGAAATGCCGTTTTGGAATTAGCTGTCCAGAGGAATTTCCTTTTGTTCCCTCCTGGCAAGGCCACCTTTTAACTCTCCAGTCACGTACCTCTACCATGGGTACCTTCTCAGCTCAGGCTTCAGATGGTGCTGTTTTGTTAGACAAACGCTCGTATTGTTCAGAAAATGTCCGTTTACAAGACCTCTCTGGCTTATTTGCACATCTGTTTGCAGCTGTTGCATATACATGATGTGTGAATAATGCATTATGGGCAAGTTAACGGAACCCCCCCTCAGACCCAGAGGTCATATTACCAGGCAGTGTTTCATGTGCAAGCTTTCATCTCTCTCTGTGAGAAGGACTGAAGTGGGTGGTAGGCAGTCTTGAATGTTAAGATTTCATAAGCACATCCACAGATTTTTATCTCAAATCCAAGGAATTTTTTTTTTCACACTCTTCCAACTGTAATAGTCAGTGAATCACTTACTTTTCCAGTGACTTTAGGGAATGTCAGGAAGGAATACTTCATGCCGAAAATATGTGTTGCAGAAAAAGCACCTCTGACTCTGGTACCAGGAAGCCTGTTGATGCGGCGGCAGCAGGTGGGGAATGGCTGAGTAGGAAGCGGCAGCTTCCAGGCTGCTCCTGGCTGCCTGGCGGCTCGTGCTTCCTACAGCCCAGGAGCTTCCCCTCCTCCTGGAGCCGCCTCCATGCTGTCCTCCCTGGGGAGCGAGAGCGCCCCGGGCCTCCTGATGCCCGGGCAGGCCACGGATTCTGCGAGAACACACATGCTGCAGGGCTCATCTTCCCAGCTCCCTCTTACCTTACGGAGGTGTTGAAAAGATGACAGCTGTAGCGTGACCCGTATCATCGGCAGGGCTTTGTACGGCCCCGGAGGCCGTCAGGTCAAAATAACAAACACGAAATACGAAAAGAGTGTAACGTGACTTAGGTAACGTGACAGCCTGTGCAGATCCCCATCCGAGTGGCACCCTGCAGTGTCATCTTCTTAGAGGGCAGCGCAGTTCATTGGCCATGGCTCAGAATATTTTTGAGACGCTCCTAGAATTGATTTTTTTTTTTTTGCCCTATTTTGGGAATTTCTTTAAATGTGGCGCAGGAAGCCACCGTCAGAGCCGGAGAGCACAGGAGCGAGGACGAAGGGCACAGACGCACTGTAGCCATCAAAGCAGCCTCACCATCTCCCCTCTGATTGTGCTCCACAGCCCGGCTGGGAAGTTGTTGACTCGAATGACTCGGCGTCTCAGCACCAGGAGGAACTTCCCCCCCCTCCCCTGCCCCCTGGGTGGGAAGAAAAGGTGGACAACTTGGGTCGCACTTACTATGTCAACCACAACAACCGGACCACCCAGTGGCACCGACCCAGCCTAATGTGAGTACCGTCGATGGTCAGGAACGTGTCCCCACGCTCTGCAGTCAGGTGCACACGTGGCAGCGCTTTGGGAGGAGGTTGGGAAGTACATCTTGTACCGGTGAAAGCACGTGGTTGTGCAACAACAGGATTCCTCTTCGTGGAGTTACAGAGCGTGGCAGCCTGAGTTTGTAGGTTGTAAAGAAGCTCTTGCCTTCGTATCAGGTTCTCCTGTTGTAAACGTGCGCTAGTCTATAAAGTAGGACTTCTTTATGAAGATTCGTGAGATGTAGAGCAGGGGTTATTTTTCCTTGGTTTATCTTATGTTTGGTGATTACATCACTTTCCCCTTCTTCAGCTTCCTCTCCTGGCTAACCCGTCATGGAAAATAGCCAACATACTGGCTCTTTAACTTTTCTGGATTTTTATTCCATAATTATTTGATTTGGAAACTCTCTCAAAATTTTTCTTTTCGTTTTTGGAAAATGTATACATCACCCCCTTGATATACTTACAGGCACATGGGAGGGTTGCTAACTCACAATTGGTAATTACAGTTTGCTCTAATCCCTTGCCAGCCTCAGGGATACAGTGAATTGATTACTGTTTTGTTCACTCGACAATTTTTGGTCTAATGATGGCAAATAAACACTGGTTAAACCTCAAGTACTATAAAAAAAGGATTTGAAGCAGCTTGTTTTTTCAATGATAGTATACAGCAAGACCTAAAACTATTAATATACAATAAAAAGCAAAAACAAAATATTAAAAACAGAAAAGGAATAAATTGTCCTAGAAATCATGACCTCCCTAGCAGTCAAGACAAGGAGGTAATTACCACTAACTTGTATAATTTTCAATATGAATAAAAGCAAGTATATGAGGTGAGATAATTTTCTCTTTAACCCAGACTCTGAAGGAAATTTGCTGATGATGGTTTTTAGCGGGTATCAGCAATGGGATGGATGGTGTTGTCAGTAACCCTTTTATCTTTAGAAATTGCAAAGATGACCTGCATAGGTAGGAAAGGTGGCCAAGAAGTATAGTCTAGATTTTGTTTGGTTTAGAGAAAAAGCAGAATCTGCAGCAGTGAATAGCCAATCCTTCCTAAGCCCCTACGTGGGTTCTCGTGAACATCAGCCGTCCTTGGTCAGCTTTGGACCACACGGTGTGTGTCTCAGTTCCTTGTTCCCAGGACAGCATAAATACCCCAACATCCAGATGATGTTGAACTCTTTTTTGTTGTAATTTTTTCCCATAGAAATATAAATGGAGATGGTTTAGTTGATTCCTTTAATTAATTAATTAATTTATTATTATTATTATTTTACTATTTCCCTTTGATTAATGACCATAGCTGTTAAAACTGTTGTAAGCCATTTGACTACTCTAGTTATTTGTAGTTTAAAAAAAACAAAGTAACCGCCTTGGGCTTGGTTACGTGTAGTGATCAGAAGAATCTTGGTAGCAGTACCCTAAGCCAAGTACCTTTATCTACCTTTGCTAAAGGTCATAGGAAAGGAATACCTGAAAACAGCACTCTCTGGGGACCACAGTGTCATGACCTCTGTAGAAAAGTGACTACTAGCAGCTCTCAAAGAAAGACTGATGGCCGGTACATATACAGAAAAAGGTTCACCTTCATTAATAATTATGCAGCCGAAGTCTGTATTTAGGAGGGAACTGGGGACAATTGCTACTTTCTCTGCCTCACAGAGTTGTGAAAACTCTAATGAGGGAATTTATACAAGCTCTCACTTGTATAAATGCTGGCTCATCAGTAGGGAAACTGTGGTTCTTCCGAGTTCATGTTCACCTGTAGTTTAGGGAGAAATCAGTGGCATGATGGTCCACATCAGTGAGGCAGCTGAGCCAGGAAGGACATCTGCAGAGCTCCGGGTGGGACCTGCCAGGTACCTCCTTTCCACCAAGCATGACTTCTAGAAAGCAAGAGAAAAGTTAGATGAGGAAAAAGATTCGGTTTTCACAATAACCTCCTCATCCCGCCTGAACTGTTTGAGAATTTGGGGGTGTTTTTCCTTAACTTTATTTGCCTTGACCAGAAGCCCTCAAGCCCTCCAGGTTATTTTAATGTGTTGTTTTAATTCAAAAATGATCTTTTGCGTAACTCAGTTTTCACAGAATACTGCAAGTTTGGGTTGGGGGGGAATGGATGTTAAGAAGGGTCTTTATGGGCTTCCCTGGTGGCGCAGTGGTTGAGAGTCCGCCTGCCGAGGCAGGGGACACGGGTTCGTGCCCCGGTCCGGGAAGATCCCACATGCCGCGGAGTGGCTGGGCCCGTGAGCCATGGCCGCTGAGCCTGCGCGTCCAGAGCCTGTGCTCCGCAGCGGGAGAGGCCAAAAAAGGGAGAGACCCACGAACCAAAAAAAAAAAAAAAAAAAAAGAAGGGTCTTTATTAAAAGGCTATATCTGAGGAAGTCAGATGAGAAGTGATGATCCCACGCTGTGCAGAGAATTAAGACTGCAGTGGAGACTCTCATTTCTTAACCGGTTTGCTACAGACTTGCGCTCCAGACTTCAGCCCCTGAAAAGTCCTCATTGACATCCCGTTGCCCTCAGGCTGTTCTTACAGGGTCCTCCTCACCCTGCCTCTTGCCAGCCACAGTCAGAAACGTAGAGCGGTCTGATCATGCATAGCTGCTTTCTGATTACTTTCTCTTCTTCTTGGCCCCATGGATGTGCTAACCCCCAATCCCCCCCGCAAAAAAAATAAAGCCAGAACGTGCCCCTTCCCCTGGTAACGTTCCGATGTCACCCTACCATCCCTTCCTCTGGGAGCACCGGACGTCTTCTGTCCCGGTCTCTCTCTGAGAGCCCCGTGCCTCCCTGTCAGGACACAGAGCGCATAATACTCTTACTGCCTGTATGAGCAGGGACTGTGGTTTCCTACTCACAGATCAACCCCTAGCACCTGGCACAAGGTAGGAGCTTTTAATTGAACGAATGACTACAGATGAGTCACTTCTGAAAGTGGGTACAGGCACGTGGTTTAGTGAACTGTCCAGGCCTGGATGCAGAGCTCTCAGACGGAAGGCGGCTACAGAACACTCCCCAGCCCTCTCAGGTCAGACAGTGGCCTTTAAAATGCCTCTAATTTTAGAATAGTCCTTATCCTATTTAAATGTAAACTGTAAACATTTTACTGTTAAAAGCACAAGTTTAAAATCATGAAGGAATTGCATTAAGACTATAGATGAACTTGTTAGACTCAAAACACTAACTCTTTTCAGTACTTCTCTTTCTGAACCACTTTGGCAGTCTCCCATCTTAGCAGTAATTTAATCATATCTTAATGACTCCGGTCATCATTAGTCACTGATGTATATGAATGTAAATGATCAGATACACTGATCTTAATTGGCACTGAATTTGATAAATTTATGGGTTTTCTTCTCTTTATTAATTTGTATGTTTCCCATGAAAGTCAAATGAAGAATATATATATGAAATTAATGACTGAAGAAAATTGAAATGGCCACTTCTTAAATTTTTTCCCTGCCTCTAATAAAATCATGTTTCTGTTTTAATTTGCCAGCTCAGACATATTTTTAAATGTTCATCTTCCTATTAGTGACCGTTTAAACTTCCTGTCAGTTTCAACAGCCCTCTTGTTCAATTGCTTATTTAAGGGCAAAAGGCCTCCCTTGTATGAACATTTTCATTTTATCACTAAAGACCATAAAAAAGCCCAGGGTTGGAATTTCAGGATCAGAGATATCTTTCTTCTTTATGCTATTTAGTTGTTTCTGGTTCACACTGATTACTAATTATTCAAGCATGTTGGATAAGGAGGATTAGCATAATTGATTTTAAATGCCCCTTTTAAAAAAAATAAGTCCTTCCAGAATAATGGAATTTTTATATACTTCTGAGAGATAGAAAATGCAAGCATAGCAATATTAAAGCCTTATTCTTTTCAACCTCTCCAAAATCCCTGTAACAATTCAAGTGTGTGTTATAACCCGGAACACACATTCAGTATTGACTAAGTGACACCTGACATTTCAAGTGAAGATTTAAAATTTTGATGAAACTTTTCTATATACAATAGTTTTAAGTAAGGCCAGTCATTATAAAGTGAAATTGAACTGAATGTCCTATAAAAATCACGGCAGCAGTATACAATCACAAAGACAATATTATATTTTCTAACATATCCAAGAGAGTGTCATTTTTTATCATCCTGTTTTGGTGGTTTCAGAAATTGTGTTAGTATACTTGTGTGTCCCTTGATTTTAATTAGTTTCTCTATGGCCTTATGGGATTTTTTTCTGAGGAGTCCTGCTTAACATACTATTAACATACTATTTTTAGTCCAGTTATAGTTTAATACAACTATAAAGTACGCAAAATGTATATTTGTTAGGTTTTAAAAATTTGTATATTGGGCAGTAAAACTTCATTCAGATCTTAATAACAAGAGTTTTTATTTTAATGTGGATTAAAGAAAGCTAACCTTCATACTGTCCCTTTACCAGTAAAGCTAAAAAATGTAAAGATTTTTGGTGGAAATATTCAGACTCTCTTGGGAACTGGCGTTAAAGAGTCACCTGTTTATTTGCAAACAGTGCTGCTTATTGCAGACTGTTCACTGTTACAGGGGCCCAGCATGTTCTTTGGGGGGAATATAGGAAAATAGTATAAGTTAGCTTGAGAGTCATTAGAATGTTTTAAAACCTATGTTTTAGGAAGAGTCTATAATGAGGGTCCTTGATTAATACCGGATTTCATTTAGTCTGAAATAATGTTTTCAAATATTTTGAAATATTAATTTGCAGCGTCTTTTTTTTTTTTGGCGGTACACGGGCCTCTCACTGTTGTGGCCTCTCCCTTTGCGGAGCACAGGCTCCGGACGCGCAGGCTCAGCGGCCATGGCTCACGGGCCTAGCCGCTCCGCGGCATGTGGGATCTTCCCGAACCGGGGCACGAACCCGTGTCCCCTGCATCGGCAGGCGGACTCTCAACCACTGCGCCACCAGGGAAGCCCTGCAGCGTCATTTTTTAACTGAATATGGCGTCTTATTGAAAGAGTCTGTAAGGGTTTTCTCTGAAAAAATTTTGACATTTAAACTTCTACTCTAAAAGTCTCCAAGTAGTATTTCTCCCAAAGGAGAATTGCCTGTAATTTAGTGCAAACGTTTTCAAGATTGACTCAATGCTTTTCACATCCTGAATTAAGAGAGTTACATGATGCCCCCCCGCCACCCCTCCCAAAAAAAAGAGACTATGAAGTTGCAGCAATCCTCAAATCCAAGTTGATTTGGGAGGTTATTGCCTGATGTTTGTGGATTTTAAAAAGGAGTTGAATGGGGAGAAATGCAGTGTCATGCATCTGAGAGTCTGTCAAAATGAGATCCTCAGAGGCCGAAAAAGTTCACGTTGGGTCAGGAGCATTTCCCTCCAGACCCCAGCTTTGAGTTTATACTATTTGTACTCATTGGTTAATTGTTGGTGACCAAAAGTTGTGGCCCTGTCATTGCTGGACTCCTAGAGAGGGGTCACCACGGACTGGCCGTGAGTGTGAGCTTACCTGTCACCTCTCCTTCAAGAGGCCTCCTTTGTCACTGGGGCAGATGGATGGAGGATTTTGATTTCTCTTCTTTCTTAAACACTAAAGTACATGCTGCAGTATATGCCTGAAAGATACTCAGAAATATTAGGACAGATGCATTTAAAGACTGTATTTCAATGAAAGGGACCTAGGAGAATGCTTTAGCCAAGAGATGGTGGCAGATTCTCCTGCTGAACGGCCAGCTGATTGTCAGTGTTGCGCGAGAGAGCACTGACACTGTATTAGGCGTCAGGCCCTTGGTGGGTGTTGGCTGGTGTTGAAGGGCCAGGTGTCAGTACCGGTTCTCCTGACTCCCACCCTCACCCCGCGCTCCCAGGGATGTGTCCTCCGAGTCCGACAGCAACATCCGGCAGATCAACCAGGAGGCAGCGCATCGGCGCTTCCGCTCACGCAGACACATCAGCGAGGATCTGGAGCTGGAGCCCAGCGAGGGCGGAGACGGCCCTGAGGTAGGACTTCCCGCTCTGCCGGCACATTCCTTGGAGCTCCTCCTTTCCGTGTTCTCCAGGTTGATCCTATGTCGTAATTTCTTGTCTCAGTAAATCTGTGTAAAAAGGAAGGCTCATGGTCTCGTGGCTGATTGATGACCATCGAGATATTTATTAACTTAGAAAGTGCTTACAAAAGCCACCTTTGACGAGTACACATAGTTTACATTACTACAAAAGGGAATGACATTATTTTTAGCATGGAAATCTTAAGATGTTTTCACTTTATCCTTTATTTTTCCCCAGAGTCTAACCACCTCTTGTTAAATGGCAACATGGGTATCATCTTTGAGCAGTTGAAGTAGCCCTGTAACTTGTTTGGTTACCAAATACAAGTTTTTACCGAGTAGTTTTGACATAGCGAAAGAGGTTTGTTACCAAGAAAATAGAAATTTGGGTGAATAGAAATGTTCATAAGTTTACCCTTAAATGCTTATGGTAAATTACTGTGGAAGAATGTATATAAATTGAACAGCAAATTAGCAAGGCAGCAAACCGTAACTTCCATGCTGCCTTAACAACTCTGTTTACTAATTAGAAATCCATTCTTTTTAAACATTGCATTAGGAAGATCATTCACAAAATGTTCCAGTGATCAAAATTAGAAAAGCAACATGAATGATGCTGTAATAAATTCACTAAGAGTTACTTCATACCAGGGCTTACTTACAGCTTATAGCATCTCTGCTGTTTTCATTGTGAATCCTCAACGGTTAGAGTCAAAGAAAATTCACAAAAATCGTAAACAAATGCCTGAGAGTATTTTTTTAACCCATGCAGGTAGTTTCAAGTGCTAGAAGCAAAGCACTGCTCAGAGAGGCGCTATTACAAAGGGACTAAGAGCACGGCCCCTGGGACCAGGCTTCCTTGGCTCAAGTCCTGACCCCACCACTTCCTAGCTCTGTTACCTTGAGCAAGTTATTCCCTCTGCGTCAGTGTCCGCATCTGTTGATCAGGGTAGTAGTCTTTATTTCCTTATGGATCCTGAGAATATTGTGTGCCTCCTGAGTGCTCAGTAAATGTGAATTACAGTTATCATAAGGGTTATTACTGGGGCGGGGAATGAGAGGGTCCCTCGTCCTAGCAGTTACCACAGCGTCTCGTTCCTTGGTAGCCTTGGGAGACCATTTCGGAAGAAGTGAGCATCAGTGGAGACTCCCTCAGCCTGGTGCTGCCTCCACCACCAGCCTCGCCTGTGTCTCGGACCAGCCCCCAGGAGCTGTCTGAGGAACTGAGCAGACGGCTTCAGATCACTCCGGACTCCAACGGGGAGCAGTTTGGTTCTTTGATTGTAAGTAATAGTAAAAATCTTTCTTGATGCATAAAAAAACTCAAATCTATGACTTGTGTTTTATCAGCTTTAACCTTGCAGAATTTCTTTTCCCAGCCAAAGGTTCATAAAGAGTACCTTTGTCATAAAGGTGGTGTTTGCACTGGGACCTGGGAGACATTGGGTCTCCAGGTTAATCCTCTTACGTCATACTCTGTGTGCTTTACCATTCTCGTTTCACAGATGAAAACGTGATTTTAAGTGACCCATCCAAGACAAGGTTAGAACAGGAGATAGATAGACATCTCCCAAGTCCCAGAGTACCAATCCTTGAGAAAGGTTGTGAAATTGTGACACTGTCACCAGGGTAGCATTTGAACTTGGGTTCTTAACCATCAGGGAAATTCATTGTAGACGCTTCAGGTGGGGCTAAGCCCCAATGAGACCAACAGAATCAGCCATGAAGACCTGTCTGAGAACACAAAGCTTTGCAGAAAAAGCCCACAGAAAGTTCCTGCTCATGCATAAAACTGAGAAGCAATGCAGTCTCAGTGCCTCTTGAGAAATTGAACCTACAGATGTACTGTAGTAAACGATGGTAGTCCCTCTGCTGCAAATGGCATCCTAGAAAAATAGTCATCATTACAGCCATATCAAATGTAAATGAATAGGAGGACTACATAAAATGTAAAAGCCAGTAAGTACTCACAAAATTGTTACTCCTTCAGTTATGTATTTTTGTTTTAAAAGACACCATTGGCCCGTATCATGAGTTGCACTGATTACTCAGTTAATGTGCTTTTGTATTAAAATTCTATGAATGTCCTTCAGAAAGAGAAATATCACTGAGACGAAAATTTAGTACTGAAGAGGCAGGGAAAAAAAGAGTTTGCATATATGGGATATTTGAATTGATAAAACTGTTGCTACGGAAACAACATAAGCAAGGAAGCCGTATATTTTAAACATTATAAAAGGAAGTAAGTACTGCCGGAAGCGTAGCGGTGGTGCACCTTTAGTCTACCAAGTGAAAAGCCATCGTTTTAGGCAGCGCTGATATTAAGCTATCCTCTCTTATTATTTGTATAGGGAGCTTCTGCATTAATCATTCTAGGTTCATAAAATATCTTTAAGATCCAAGTGCAAGTGTCGGAATTATGTTAAGTTCATGTCGAGTCTGGTTCAACTATTAAATAACAGTGCCTAGGAAAGAGAGGAGTAGGGGAGTAGGGGGTTCTTCTCCAGTTTTGCTTGTCAAGGTCACTCTGTATTCAAGGACAACAGCATGAACTTTTACTAAAGGATGAATCCTTCATGCTAAGCGTTGTGAAAAGACTTGAAAAGCTTCCCATTTACTGCCGCAGGGTCTGTCTTTGACCTTACCCCATTTTCCTGATTGCAAAATATTAAAAGCGAGGAGATGCTACAGATTTGTCCCATGTACAAACCCGTTGCTAATTAGACCCCTGCCTTGTGTGTGTGTGACCTGCTGCTGATCTGTGGTCCTTTTTTTTTTTTTTATAACCATATAGATTAATACAAACAAGTGAGAGGAACATATTATACATTGCACTCTATAGATTTTTCTTTTTTAGTTTAACCGTACCTATTTTCCTTCATTCCTGTTCTGTACAACTTCTGAACTCCGTTCAGAAGCTGAAGCTATAAATACCTAACCCTTCAGAAGGAGCCGAAGATTATATTTGAGTTCCCCTGGAAATAGAATCCAACTGATTCTTTGTCATTGGTCACAGTAGTCAATAAATGTTTAATAACTGCATGTCAGTATCTCTTCCTCTATTCGTGTTCCACTAGAATTTATCCAGAGGTTGCGTCTCAAAGCAGAACTCAGGACTTCTAGCTTCTCTTTTCCATTGTTAGAGCAGCACTCAGATGTCATCTGTGGAGCCCCCTTTCCCGTTTTGGCCTCTTATGTTTAACGTTATTTCTATCCCATCTGCTTAAGACACTTGAAAGTGACAGTGGAAGATACTTGACTCCTTAAAAGATTACTCTCATTACCCCGAAAAGATGGTGTTTCATTTAATTATACCTTCTAATATTAAAGAGCAGTGACTAGGCTTGAGTGATATATTTTTTAATCCAGTGAAACTCGTTTCTCAGAATGTGTGTCCCTGATGCTCCGCGTCCTTTCCTCCCCTTCAGCAGAGAGAGCCTTCCTCGAGGTTGAGGTCCTGCAGTGTCACCGACGCAGTCGCAGAGCAGGCTCATCTGCCACCGGTAACCCATATGCTCATTTCCAGCCGTGAATTGGCTCTTTGGGCTTTTATTTAAAATCATCTGGGCTACTGAGGAAGAGTTTTTCCTGTGCCAACCCATTTACCGTATACGTAGGACATTAAAATGTCCTAGCAAATTGCCCAAGGAGAGTGAATTTCCAATACGAAGAGTTGTTGTCCTTGTCACCAAAGTCTCTGAAATGCTAAAAACTCCATTGTTTTGCTTTTCCATCCAAATTAATACCAATTCTGATGTGCTTACTTGACCTAAACATTAACAATTCCTTGTTTAAAAAACTTCATTTGGTCCCTGAAGCTGTGTTTGAGTGACCTGTATCTCAAGAACATAGGAAGAACTCTTCTGGGTGGGCAGCAAGAAGTCCTTTCCATTACTAATGGCCTAAGCTCTTAACCCACAAAGCTCTGTCCCTTCTCTTTAAAGCCAGCTCTACTGGCTCAAGAGTTGGCTATAATTTGTTCCCACTTTCCCACAGTTTTCATAACTAGCAGGAAATATAGAAGTGTAAAGGGTATTTAATAACATAGGACATAAATAAAAATGAATATTCTGATTGGAAAGCAGGCCAGAACTGCTTTGGGAGATGTTTAATAAACACATTAAAAGTAAATTTTATGTAAATTTGTATTACGACAAATCCTTGATCATTGGTAGTGCTTGTTTATTGCATATGAAATTGTTTGCAATGAAATGATCATTGTTTATTGCATATAAAGTTGAAGAAGGGAAAGAAAGATTGCACTTAACAGTTTTTGCAATCATAGTGTCTTCCCCATTGTGTACATTTTTGCTCAACTTCAAAGAATCTTTTTTGCCTAGGCTTTACGTCTTTTATGTTTACAGAATGGATAGTACATTAGTCAACTGTGTAATCAACATAGTAGATGCAGTTGTGACATACATGGAAAGGGCTGGTAGGTCAGAAGCTTGACCAGAGCATCCTTTCTGGGATCCTTTCAGGCCTCCCCCAAAACAGAACAGTCAGCTGTGATGGACTAGTGGGATACTCTTCAGATGACGCTGTGATTTTCCTTGATGAATTAATGGTGCTTTCTCTCCTTTTCCAAAATCAGTGTCAGTTTTATTGGCCAAAAGAGCTCACTTCCCTGAAAACTGATAATTCTTTCCTCTTTCCTTGTGCTCCGTGAAGCTGTGAACTCACTGATCACCAGTGGCCTCTTACTTGAATTTCTGAGTTTGACAGATTTAATAATCTGCTAACTATTTAACAGTGGGGGCACGATAGTGGTGCTTTCCATTTTTTTTCCATAAGACATCTCACATTGTTGAGGTTGTCAATTCATCGTTTACCCAGGTCAGGGCTGCAACCTGAGCCTTTTCTGGATGGGAGGGTCATCGTGTTCCTCTTTTCCTTCTGGTCATCAGTGGTTGCTCAACTTTATTTGGACCGGGTGGATTGCACAGATTTTGATTCATGTCACCTGCCTTACTGGCTGCACCAGCACTGATTCCTGATTCAATAAGCAATGGGTGGTCTCCCAAAATGCATTTCACTGATGTAAATTATCATTTAACAGCCCAGTGCCCCAGCTGGGAGAGCACGTTCATCAACTGTCACGGGTGGTGAGGCGCCAACGGTAATGATACCCTCGTTCAGACATGAATGGCAAAACTGGGGGTTGGTTTTAATATTTTGGGTAATGGTGAATATACACTTTTTTCTTCTTTTTTTGATAAGAGCAGCTTCTTATGTGCCACAGAGCTGCATGCTTCTTATTTTAAACCTCTCACTTTCACATTGTTTGAAGGTACTGGGTAAAACGAATTGATTTTTAGTCCCATATAGTTTTATGAGGAATACTGTCAAGCTTTGTTTAAAGTGCATTTTAATCTGATCATTTAGAGTCTGTTTCTGCCTTTTAGTGTTTGTACTCCTGATAAGCTTTTCCCATGTGTTTAGAAGACTTGGGTAAAATATTTTGGTTGGAGGAGAATCAAGGAAGCCACAGGAATTGCATGCAATTATACATGTGAATTTTCAGTTATACATTTCCCGTACCACGTTTCAAAGGCTGGGTTAGATTTTTTGTATCACAAGCGTGAACTAGTGACCTTTCTCTGCTACCAGGGGCCCCTACTCACAGGTTCACAGGTATGAACAAGTGTTCATATAATTTAGGAGGAGAGAGGAAAGAGTATAATTAAGAAATTGAAAAGATCTAGAAAAATGGTGTTTTTAAGCCAAGTATCTCTTACTCTTATTACCCATTATTTTAAGTAATTTCTACTATTCATGCTTGTGGGTGACTTGGATGACTGTGTACTAAGTTGCCTGTTTTCTCCTTGATCCCTAAAGACAGGCTAGTTGCTAGTTTATGCTTGGAGCTGCTATAGCTATTTGAAGAATTTTCCTGACTGTTTTAACTTTGTATGTTTGTTGTAACTGCTTATTACTCGAGAACACCTTTAAATACATATACGATTGCTGATTCCTGTAGGATGTTGATTTAAAGGAACAATTTGGTTATATTGTTAGAATTTACTGCTCAGCGTCGTACACTGGAGAATCGAAGTGGCAGTCCGCAAAAATCAGCCCAGTTTAAAGTATTGAGCTGCAGTGAAGGGCATGTGTTGGGTGGGCCAGGCTCAGCCTCCAGTAGTATTCAAGAAAGTTCAGATAAACTCGTATATTTCCTATTGTGCGCTAGTAATTTCCATGGGAGTAGAGCTGCGAGGCGGACAAGATCACTTCATGAACTGATTTTAATAGAGTGCAGGGCTGATGAGCATCTACTATCATTTTTGCATTTTGTTGGCCTTGGAACCTGATGTGAGTGTTGGAGTGTTGCGAGAGCTGATAATATTAAATGACAGGGTAAACTGAATTATGATCGTCCTGGGATCCATGGTCAGAATCTCCTGGCAGGACGAAGTGGTCCATGTGAATGAGCTCCCCGTGGCCCTGCCACTGTGCTTTTCTTCTTGCCTGTGCTCTCTCCCTCCCCCAGCAATGAATTAAAAATAGGAATTTGGTTTTGTTTTCTATTTTCAATGACTGGGTAGTAATATTTCCTAAATGTTTTATCTACTCTCATGCTTTCTACATACCTGGTAATCTTTAGCCTGGAATAAGCAAACTTACCTTATGGCTGCATTAGAAATTATCACGTCTATTTCTTTTGCACCCTCACCATCCCTCGTGACGAATAGCCTTTACTTTTGCTTTTCCAATTCCATCTCCTACCATGTGTTTTCCCCTCTTTTACACCTTCTCCCTGTCAGCCGCAACACTGAAGTGTGCTGTGTCATCCTGAAGCTACCCTGGGACTCCCCATCCCACTCCTTCCTCTGTGCTCTCGTAAACGTACACGTGGATGCACGCGTGCGCACATACGCGCGCACACACGCACACACACACACATGCAAGTGGGATCTCGTATACGTATTAATTATCAACTTGATATTATTCACTTGTGGTCATTTTTCCGGGACATACTAATTAGTACATAGTAGTCAGTGATGTGAGTGCACCACAGTTTATATAATTTTCCCACATCGAAGAAATTCAGCCTCCACCCCCTGGGCACTGCTCGCCATGTGGCTTTATTAACCATCCTGGTGTTGCTCTCTTTCCATGGTAGTGCTTTTATTTCTACGGTATCATGAACACGCCCTGATTCTCATCTGTGGAGCCGCAACCCTTTGACGTATGACAAATAAGTACGCGCTGGTGCCGCTTTCCAGCCGGCTAAGCATGAGCCCTCTCTGTGAGAGAAGCTGAGAAGCATAGCACAGCTTGGGGGTTTTGCTCTATATACCCTAAAAATACACTGAGGCAAGAGCGTGGCAGGATCTCAGTGAATCTTGGAGAATCTGTGATAGCGCCCAACATTTATCGTCTTTAAAAGCATTTTGAAACTTTTACAGCTCCAATGTAATTGAGTTCTTCATTTTAATGAAATAAATGGAGCCACCATTAAGCTGCAGTTAAATGGCTCCTTGGCTTTGTGAAACACGGTGGTAGAATTCAGATGAAAAGCTGTGAAGTGTTAAATTAAGCTGACTGGCCGTTTTCTAACTTGTCTCCTGATTAACTCACATGTTCTTGAGGCGGTAAGGAATGCACGTGTGCAGAAGCGCGCGCACTCCACGCACACCGCAGGAGAAGGCTGACGTTGGCTCCAGGGCTGCGCCCCTGCCATGGTCTGTGCCCCTGCCATGGTCTGTTCGTAGAAGCTGAGCCCCACCCCCTCCCCAGCTGTGGGAGGTGGTGTTTTGAGTCACAGATGGAATCACCAGCACAGGCTGTTCTTCATGGACATTTGGAAAGAACCCTATAAAGAACCATTTTAATAACACCGTCTTGCGTAAATGGAACTAGATCGTAGGTTGCCAATTCAATTCTCAGTAGAAGGTAGAAGGAACATTTTAATCAAATTCAGTGTTCTCTACGACGCTCCTAGTTTTCCATAAACTGATTAGCCCTATTAACTGTGGATCTGTGAAAGTGACCTGGTTGCTGGAATACTCTGCTGGAACTCAGTCCTGAGATTATCCATGACACATCCCAGTTATTTTAGTTCATTAGCCTCCTTGTAAATATCCTTTCCAGGGATACTATAACTGTAAAACTATCCTTAAGGTTTCCAAAATGGAGTTTTCTAAGGGCACATGTAATTGCCTTTCCGCAGAAAATAATTGAACGGGGAGGCCGAGAAGCAGCATTTAGCATTTAGTATTCCATGCAGCCAAAACATTTTTGGTCCTCATATAAACAAACAGTATGTCAAGGCTTGATAGCATGTACTTGGCCAAAAATACTAATCAACCACTAACTTAGGTTACAGAGTCCATTGGGTCAGCAGAATCCATTGCTGTAGTGCCCAGATAAAAAGTAGCCTGGAAATAGCTCCTTTGTGTTGGTGTCACAGCGAGAGGAGGAGGGTGCAAAGAGCTTTCGGCTGTAGACAGATTCATCTGTCTTTAATACTCATGGAAGGATCAGGTCTGCATGTTGATGTTTCTTCCACTCTTGTTGTATCCCCACAGCTAGATCCAGGACTCTACGTACTCGGAGTCTTGGCGTTGCCATTATGGGGCCTCGGGGACTTTATCTGGAATAATGCCAAGGAAATAGTTGCTGCAGCTCTAGCAGAAAGTTGCCTTTCAGATAAGTACACTTGCCCTGCTGGGTAAATGTGTTTTAGAAATAACCATTAAGGCAGCTGCTTCCTGGTCTGTTTTTCTCTGGAATGTGCTATTTGAGCTCATGAAGTAAGATATTAAGCCTCGTTGCCTGCAGTCCCCAAATTACATGGCTGCATCCCTGATCTTGCTTTTCAGTTCAAGGTCTTGCAGTGGACTGGGGGACCCTCTTTGCCAAGGTACATTGTTGGCAGAAAACACGAAAGATGGGATGAGTACAAGGAGAGATTGGGCTAAGAGGTTGACATCTTCAGCCTAATCAAGAAAACTGCATCTGGTAAAATGTCTGGAGTTTCAGAAGATCCTAATTAGGGAAGACGGTACCCTAAAAGAAGTGGTTTCCTTTTGTAACCTCACGTAAGAGATTATTTCTAACGTTTGGCCTCTTGTTTCTTTTACGCTCTCCCGAGAGCCTTGGTAGTCATGGTTGGCTTCTTGTTCCTACCCCCTTCCTTAGAGTAGCAGCCCTTTCCCAGCTACAGATCTCGTGCGCAGCACCCCGACGTCCAGGACGTCCTGGACGGCACTGGCCTCAAGCAAACATCCCCTTGCCTCCGTGAGTCTTTGAGACACCCTGCTTTCCAGCAGCTCTCCACCCCGCCTGCATTTCTCAAACTGCTTCTTACAAGCAAAAGTGTCGCAGGAAGCCTTTTGCAATCTACTTTGAACTGTCCAACCATAGTCACTCTGTACTGCACATGTCTCTAAGCCCAGAAGCTACCTGTGCTCCATTCACCCTTTAAGGAGACAAACTCCATATGGGAGGACGGGGGGAAATACAGCCTCAGTTACCACGCTTCTTTGGAATTCTGGCCTCAGATTGCCAGGTGGCGTCCCGGGCTAGAATAGTTGAGATATTCTGGTCAGTCACTAGCGTGAAAGCAGGCCTCGTAGAGAGCAGACTGTGTGTGTGTGTGTGTGTGTGTGTGTGTCCCCACCCCGTGCCGAAAGCTACGTAGTGTAAGGGCCCTAAGCTGGTGAAGAATTTAGGAATAAGCTAGGAGAGCATCCCTGTGACAGCTAGATTGAGGAAACAATATTCAGGGCATCCCTCTCAGAGTCGGTAACATTTAATAATTTGAAATACCTTTTAGGCTCTACGTGGTTTGACAGTAAAATGCAGCAACTAAAACGAATTGTCATATTATTCTCTTTCGTTATGATCACGTTGGCAGCAACCCTTTATGTTGAAGCCTGCATGGCCCGGAACTGAGTTTTGTAAGATTTTTGACCCTGTGGCTTGTGTGGGAGTTCATTTCACAGTAGGTTTAAAGCTATTGGAAACATATTGCTGTTTTCCAGGCACTCATGTTTTCGGTACCATTAGAATTAACTCACTTTGTCTAGCACAGATAACTCTGGGTACGTATTACTTTATTAAGTTGATCAGAAAATAAACGCAAGATATTAAATAATAACGATTTCTTACACAAACAGCCATCAGTGGCCTATGTACATACCACGCCGGGCCTACCTTCAGGCTGGGAAGAAAGAAAAGATGCTAAGGGACGCACATACTATGTCAATCATAACAATCGAACCACAACTTGGACTCGACCTATCATGCAGGTATGCAGATCGCCACACAGCTTATGGTCACAGGCAGTAGAAGCCAAAGCGGACGCGAATCCCATGGTCCCGATGTTTATGTGTTGTTCTGAAGAACCCATGTTTAAGAAAATTTTTCTCGCAAATGCATTCCTTTGAAACGTAGTATTTGCCCTAACGAAGAATTTGGTCCCTGACTCAGTCTCTCCCTAGATGGTCCATTTTAAAAATGTGACATGAAAGGTTATTTTCAAAGTAAGAGCCTGCTTATTACAATGGGTAGCATCCCTCCGAACCCCCTTTTTTTCTGAGGCTGGTTTTTATGCCAGCCGGTGATTCATTTTTTATTTCCTTGGAGTGTTTCCCCATCCTTCCCCCCATTATTATGCGTAGTCATTTCCTCCGTGCGTTAAACAGGCCAGACCTCTCATCATCGCTGGCTGTGTTGTTGGGTCCACCCTCCAGTCACGCGCGCAGGGAGAGCCTCACACGAAGCTAACTTGTGTTTGCCTCCAACGTAGCTTGCAGAAGACGGTGCATCCGGATCCGCCACAAACAGTAACAACCATCTAATCGAGCCTCAGATCCGCCGGCCTCGTAGCCTCAGTTCGCCAACAGTAACTTTATCTGCCCCACTGGAGGTGAGAAGGCTACGTCATCTAACTGGGGTCACGTCTATCCTGTGACTTCTCCTCATTCTCTCTTCTCTCTGAACTGGGACTTGGGTTTTGCAGCCACCTTCCGCTCTGATAATCAGTCTCTGTGTTCGTGGTGAGGGGTGTCCTTGTGCAGCCTCACTCCATGCTTCCCATCCCTGGACTCACCTGATTCTCATTCTCATTGGGCTGAGGCCATGGTGGCTTGTACTGGACATGGGCTCCTCTTTTCAGAACTTTCTCCATTCGTGTTGTGTTTCACTCCTTACTGCCTGTTACCTCATGAGACTCGCATAATGACTCGTATTGGTTCAAATACCAATGCTTACGTTGAGTTTTTAAACATCGCTGTTGCTTTGATCTGTTTTTCCTTTCGACCGTGAGGTCTTCCATTGTATCAGCCTCCGAGTTTCTGATGCCTGTTTGCGTCTCTGAGTCACTGCTGGGCATCTGCTTTGCGCCCTCCTGTTTGTGTGGTTTTAGGGACATCCCTTAACATCACAAATACCAGAGACGAAACCTTTGAAGTTCTAAACGTGACTGCATCTTAGAGATGGCTGCGGGCTTCTCCATGCCCGGGTTGAAGATGTTGATAAGTGGGAATGGGCGATATCTCCTCCAAACTGTGATGTAAATGTCCTGGGTAACAACTATGCAATTCCAGGTGGCTGTCTCGGTTGATAGAGGTTTTTCTTTTCTGCTCTAAAGATTGCCAGTCCATCTTCGTTAGACTGTGAGCTCATTGAGAGCAGGGGCATGTTCTTCTCCACCTTCTGTAAAATCTCCATCCATAATGCTCACTACAGAACAGTATTTTGGGTACATACCAAGTAGCTGTCAAAGGATGGTGGTTATACGTACTTCATATTGTGTGTTTAACCAGTAGAAACACCTTACAGTTAGATTAATTTTAAAAGTAAACCAAGCAGGTTTTTTAGGAGCTTCCCCGTTGTCCCTCTTCAAAGAGGAGTGTTCCATGACCCCCAGGTACATGTTGACCCCTCTGGACTAGAACCTGGTAAGACTTCTAATGCTCATTATTATTCCTTAGGGTGCCAAGGATTCACCCATACGTCGGGCTGTGAAAGATACCCTTTCCAATCCACAGTCCCCACAGCCATCACCTTACAACTCCCCCAAACCACAACACAAAGTCACACAGAGCTTCCTGCCGCCCGGCTGGGAAATGAGGATAGCGCCCAACGGCCGGCCCTTCTTCATTGACCATAACACAAAGACTACAACATGGGTAAGGTCGCTACTTTTATTTGGCTCCATTTTCATCCTGAGGTCTGGCATTCATTCCTTTATTTCCTTACCCAGTATCCATGGTTCTTGCAGAGAAATTTCCTGGCAGTGAAGCATGTCCCCGGAGGGTCTTCTCAGCTTGGTCTAGACTCCGCACATGGGGGCTGGCGGGGAGCAGGTGACTTACGGGCACAGGCTAATGGCCGCCTTTGGTACTGGTGCCTTTTCTTCAGAGCACTCCAGGAAAGCTCCAGTTGTGACAATTTACCATATATGGAATAAAAAAGGTAGTGCTGCATATAGCTAGGATTTTGATGTTACTGCTTCCCATCTCAGGATGCTGTAACCTTATTAGGAATTCTAATCTTTTTAGAAATGATGTTTCTTTGTCACTTTCTTTTTGCATCTGTGTTGACATTACCCATCTTTATTTTTATTTGATGTGTCATTTTAGTTTTTACTCTTTACATCAGATAAGTATTTTATACTCTGTGCTACATTACTTTCTTTTAATTGTGGATCAGGAGGTATACTAAAGACTTGGTAAATTTGATAGCTCTTTTTTGTGAACATCTTATCACAGTTGGTTATTTCTTATCACAGGGCTCTTCCATGTGCCCCTGAATCATGCATGAGAGAGAATCCGTGTATTGTGTTAACCTGAGAAAAATGAGATTAATGAAAAGTACATATGCATATCTTTATGTTCCTCTGCTCACTCTTCATTTCTTCAGGGGAGTCAGTGGTGGCTTATTTAATGTAACATAGAGTTCTTTTAAAAGTCAGTGGTATTTTTCTACTGAGCGATCTCTAGACCAATGATTAGCCTGAAATGCGTCCTCATGTTTCTATTTCTGATGCTACCGAAGGTTTGTTTTCCTTGCTCTCCCTTATATCCCCATCTGATTGTCTGGGTACCGAGCGTAACTCAAGTCTTTCTGTCCTCTGGGCTACTTGCTCAGAACTGATGGTATGTGAAAGCTGGTTGAGTTTTGGTGATTGTCACTGGCCCTAGCTCTGTGGTCTTGGACCAAGAGTGAACACATGCTTTAAATTCCCATTTCTAGTGTAGACACCAAGTATACCCAGTTGAAAGAACAGCAGTATCACGTTAAGGAAGAGACCTGGACCCAAATGGACTGTCACTTACACTTTGCCCGTGGTGTGATGGTAATTCAATGCCCTTGAGAATTGGATTAGATGGCCCAGCAGACTCTCTCAGACCTCATGGATCGTGGTACAGTGTGTCTCCACGAGGACAATCTTAGCATTTGGGGCAGGACTGTGCCTGTTATTTGCAAGACATTTAACACCCTTGGCTTCTGCCACTGCATCCTAATAGCCACTGTCGCCACCCCCGCCCCCCAACCCCTATCCTAGTGACAACCCAAAAGCTCCCACGCATTTCCCAACACCCCGTAGTGAGAGCCACTCCAACTTTGAAGTAAAGGAATAACCTGCCAAGAGAATTTATCATCCAGATCTGGTAACATTCATTTGGTAAACGCATCACTACTGCTAAGGCATATATGATAACATGTAGCTTTGAAGATAAGATTACAGGTTTCTGGCAAGATGAGAGTAAAAGATAGGTCGCTCCTTGGGAAATAGAGTGAGAGAGATTGGTGTGAAAACCTTTTTTCCCTCGTGGACATAGAACCTGTAGCAGTCCTGCTAGTGTACCCATTTCTACTTACTACAGCACTGCTGGGATTTCTGTTCCTCAGCCAGGAATGGGAGCTCCAGAAATAGGGGGTAAATATTGTAAAAGTAGCTGGATTAGTGTATGCAGCCACTGTGGCTTGCCAACATAAGCTATGATTTTAGTAATTTGAACTAGCTTAGTAATCAAATCCCCTAACCTTTTCACAGCCTTTCACACCACAACTGCAGTGTAATTGCAGCTGGGCAGATTTTATTTAAAATAGCACCAGCTTTATTTATTGCCTGCATTGGTGCTGAGTGAAACTCAGTTTGAATTTTCAATTGCCCCTTTCCACCAGATACTTGTGATTCACTGATTTAAATTTTTAATTGGTTAAAACAACATTTTGTTGCTGCTGCTGTCGTTGAAAATCCTTAAGGTAACAACTGGGAATTCCACAAACCACCACGCTTCTCCTCTAAACTCGGATGTGCTGACACAGCCGCGTTATCCCTGCTAATAAACAAAGGCCCATACAAAATTCTCGCTGTGGAACGCAGGCTCTAAATTGCTTGTTTATTTTGACAAAAGGTGGAAGGATGGAGAGAACTGTAAAGATAATTTTCGGCTGAAAACCTGTGTTGAGTTTGTTTGGGGTTTGCTTTGTTTTTCAAAGAGAGAACAAATAAGAGAGAACAGCTGTTCTTAGATTTGAGCATTATCATAGGAAAAGGAAAAAAAAAATTGGTCAGACAGGTTGAGAATAATGAAAATTGTACTTCTTCCCCCAGCACCCTGTGTCCTCTTGATTCCTGCACTAACCAGAAGCAGGAAAAAGTTCAGGCCAGCATTTCCCTTGTATACATTGATAGAGGAAAATTCCCTTTGAAGTCTATTTATAAAACACGGCCTCTCGCACACACAAATAATGGAGGCCGTGTGCCAGCCGTCTATCAGGAATAAAGTTGACAACAGCAAATGAGCATCACTTTGTCCCCACCTGGATCAGGCGGGCTGTGGATGCACGGCAGAGGCCACCGGGGAGCTGGGGAGAGATTACAGGAGGGCTTCAGCTCATGCATTCCTTCTGCTGAAGAAGCAGCTCAAAGCATGTGTGTAAGAGTATATTTATGTCTTTTACAGGACAAAGCCTTGGCTTATTTTTGTGGCAACAAAGATTATACCTCAGTTAAGTTTCAGGTTTGTTTTCTACCCAGGTCCAAACTAATAAAACTCACTGTAGTCTAGCCCTGGTGGTTGTTCCCTTCCAGGATCGGAAAAGCACAGTTGTATTTTCAGCTAGCCAGCATGCCCATATTTTATATATTTTTAAATGATTCCGCGAAAAAACTTTTTTGGGGGGGGGCGTGCTGAGCAGCATGTGGTATCTTAGTTCCCCTACCAGGGATCGAACCCGCGCCCCCGGCACTGGAAGCGCAGAGTCTTAACCACAGGACCATCAGGGAAGTCCCCAAAGCCTTTTTTTTTTTTTGCGGTACGCGGGCCTCTCACCGTTGTGGCCTCTCCCGTTGCGGAGCACAGGCTCTGGGCGCGCAGGCTCAGCGGCCATGGCTCACAGGCCTAGCCGCTCCGCGGCATGTGGGATCTTCCCGGACCGGGGCACGAACCCGCGTCCCCTGCATCGGCAGGCGGACCTCAACCACTGAGCCACCAGGGAAGCCCCAAAGCCTCTTTTTTTTTTTTTTTTAATTAAATAAGATGTTGATCTTTGCCTTCTGTTTAAAAACGCTTTCAGCTGTAATTGTGGGAAGCAGTTGTGAAATACTGATATAATTGCGAAGAAGTGCCCCTACTATGCTGAGGAAAGGGAGAAACAGCCAAGTGTGTTGTGTATTTTATTCATTCACATTTGTATCGTTTGAGACCTCGTTAGGATTCCAGCTGACTGTCATTCCTAAAGCTGTCCCAAGTCCTGTGGGGCCTTGGCTGCCCTTCTCCGCTCGTCTAGCTGCCCCTCCGTCACTCAGGGGATTCCGTGGGAGGGTGGGTTCCGTGCTGCCCCCTAGGCTGAGCCCGCAGAGCTTGATGGATGGTAGCTGCTGCCATTATTTTGATTTTTGTTGGTATAATAAAATCACGTGACCCCCAGGGGCCTCCAGCCCTCACATTCTATGAATTCCGAGTTTCCGTGCAAGGCCACATTAGCAGGCCTGTGAAATTGAATTTACTTTATGCCTTGTGCTCCTTCTCCTACGCCCCTGTCACTTTTCTTTAATTTCAGCTTTTTTTTTTTTCTTTCAATCACCAGCTCTTTACCAAAAGGGCCGATTGTCTTTCATAGTAGCCTGTGTGTGTGATTCCAAGGCATGGCTGGCCTCGCACGCAGCATGCAGAAGCCCCTGTCCTCACCCGTGGAATAGCAGCCTCAGCCTTTCTCTAATCCCAGCGTGAGCAGTGGCTGTGGTCTGCCCGAGCTTCCCCTGCAGTGGCGGCATTACCTGGGCCAGCCCAGAGATGGCCTTAGGTAGCTTTAGTGGGGTTCGGGGCTCTAAGGTTTTCCTTGGTCCATGGCCAAGCGGTCACAGATGTTTACCAGGTTATCAGCTTTTTAGACCTTCTAAATCCTAGATCTACCTAGCATATCTGTTTACACTGTAGGCGTTCCAGTATACTACAGAATACTGGACTATTTTATGCCTCTAATGAGCAAAGGTTGATTTGTATGTGTATGATTCTTGTCGTTCTTGCCAGCTCCAGAAATCTATCACTTTGTTACTATCCCTTGATACTAATGGTTTAGACTGTTAACTTGGGGAAAATAATTTTAAAGCTTTATCGAGGTATAATGCACATACCATACAGTTCGCCCATTTAAAATAATACAACTGAATGGTTTTTAGACCATCACACATGTGTGCCACCATCACCGTATCGGTTTCAGGCCGTTTGCGTCGCCCCCAGAGAAAACGCCATACCCGTTAGCTGCCACCCTCTGTGACCTAGGAGATGTTTAATACAGCCTTGGCATATAATCATATGTAATTTCACATCCAAACAAAAGTGAGTTTTATTATTTTCCCAGTTTTATACCAACTATTTCATTTTCTTGCTGACTTGGGAAAATGCCGAGGCAGTAAACCTTTTAGTAGTTTGACAGCAACAAAGGCTTTAACATTAATGAAATAAAGGGTTTTTTTTTAAGGTTTTTTAGTGTTTAGTTTTGTTTTTTATTATCTTAGGCTTATTTGGTTAATAATGTGTTATTCTGAGTTTTATCATTTTGTTTTCTAATCTTTTGAGTTTCAAATAGGGGTTCTCTAAGTTACACTGCATTTTAATTGGGTCTGTATAAGTGAAGGACAGCCGCCAGACTCTAAACCAGAACCTCTGGGCAAGTTCTTGTTCTCTGTGAGACTCCGTTTCCTCATCTAAAGGAGCAGAGATTACGTATCCAACCCCCATAACAGGGTGGTTGCAAGATCATACACCTGACTGTTCTTTGTAAGTTATAAAGCATGACCCAAGATGTCAGAGTATGTATTTTTCTGTCATTGGTTCTGTGTGGTATCTTATGAAGCATATCCCTTAAGAAAAATATTTTGTAAACTTTTTGTTTTGTTTTGTTTTGTTTGCGGTACGCGGGCCTCTCCCTGTTGCGGCCTCTCCCGTTGTGGAGCACAGGCTCCGGACGTGCAGGCTTAGCGGCCGTGGCTCACGGGCCCAGCTGCTCCGTGGCATGTGGGATCTTCCCGGACCGGGGCACGAACCCGTGTCCCCTGCATCGGCAGGCGGACTCTCAACCACTGTGCCACCGGGGAAGCCGTAAACTTTTAAGATCTAATTTGTGGAACTTGATCAAGAATCCCAGTAAAGTTCTCTCATCGGGATGCCACTCTGGGATGCTGCCGACTAACTCTGGGGCAGGACGTGCCTGGACAGTCAAACCAGATTCAGATTTTCGGCTTCGGCTCAAGAGAGGGTGGAAGGGAGCAACAGCAGATGCAAGCGCTGATGGAATGGGTGTTTCTAACAGGCTAGCTGCCCTCAGCCCGAGCTCAGGGTCCACAGGGAGCTGTCCGACTGTGTCCTCACTCCCGCTCTGTGGAGTAGATCCTCCTTATCTTCACTGGCATCCTCTATTCTGGTCTCCATGGTAATGTCACTGCTGGAACCCTCTTCCTCTTCACCTGCTCAGGGTCTTGGGGAAATGGTTAACCTTTCACTTAAACATTCTTACTCTCCTCCTTTCATCAAGTTCAAGGAGGAAGAGTAGAATCTTTTTGGAGAGATGGTCAGCCAGGCCTCCTGTACGGAGGTGGGGTCCTCCACTCCCCACTGCAGCAGCCCCCCCGCCCCACAACACACAGGCAACCTGCTTGCTGTGGAACACACACCTCCAGAAGGGGAGGACAAGTACCGCTCACAGAGATCACTCCTAACATCTGCCTCTTAACATTTTTCTTGCAGGAAGACCCACGCCTGAAATTTCCAGTGCATATGCGGTCAAAGGCATCTCTAAACCCCAATGACCTTGGCCCTCTTCCTGTGAGTACACTGGAGACACACGGACCAGTCTGAAAATGTTTACTCATTCATGGGCCCAGTGTTGATAGGGAAGCCCTGTGACCTTCTTTTTCTCCAGACGTTTTGAATCCCCTTGGCCTGCCGTTTCTTAATAGAATCAGGTGTATGACTGAACTGATAGCTCATTCAGTTCACACCACACCGAGCTCTTCTGAAAGAGGTTTCTGAATGGCTGACTGCTAGTGAAAGGTAGACCTTGCAACTAGGATGATGGACGAGGCATTCTCTACAGGTGACAGTTTAAGCAGCACACATTTATTTTGTAACTTAGCAACCAGCTAATTTCCATCCATATTGCTTGCTGATTTAGTCATAGGAACAAAAATTTTTTTTTAAAGTGGAAGAAAAGGGCGTACGTAATCACAGAAGGTTTCTATAAGTCATTTATCCAGCCGATGTTTTAAATTTTTCTCCCTTGTCAGTGACTGTTTACAAATCTAATTTTTTATTAGTTTGTTCTCTTTGGGGGCCTGAGTGAGAGTCAAGCTGTTTACTCCAAGTTAGATTTTGAATGGAACCTTCACACATGCTTTCGTGTTGACCCACCCCCAGTTTTTTAAAAACCCTTACAGGCTAGAAAGGTGGGATGGAAATGGAAGGGTGCTGGGAATTTTTTTGGTGTTTGTTTTCCAAGAACCTTTCTGTTGCCTGTTGTATGGTATATTACAGCAAGATTTGAAGCTAGAAAGATTGGGGTGCAGTCTTTATTCATCAGGTTATACAAATACCCCACACCCTCCCAATATTTGGTTCCGGGGTTTAGATGGAAGGAGACTGGGGAGAGACTGGAGAGAGAGTTTAGTAAGTGAAAGACTGCAGGTTGTCTAGATCTGTTGGATTCTTGACTTTCAGGTAACAAGTAGGCACAGTTCAGATCATGAAAGCGTACCAGCCTGATCTTGGAAAAATTATCCAAGTCTGGTGTCTGAGTAGTGAGAGTTCACAGCAGAGGATTTCAGTATTCGATTGTTCCACCGCCTGATGACATGAGTAAAGCATCAGTCTCTCACATTTTATATCGCCCTTCACCCTCCCTTTAGTACTCAATAAATACTCATTTAACTAAATGAGCTATTCAGCCCCAGGCTCAGCTTTCACAGTGTGTGGAGTTTCCCTTTGAAGCTTTTGAAATAATAACCCCTGTTTTTCTTGTTCACCACACAGTGAGTGCATCTGAGACTGTAGAACATGTGCTAAAGTGTGTTGCTGGGTGTTGTCATTTAAGTGAGTCCATTTGAAATGTTTCTATTTAGTTTATTCTTTATGTAAAAACGTACCCCAGGGGAGAAGAGTAAGAAGGTGTCCTAGAGTCTTTACCTTTTGCCTTTGATTTTGGGACTGCTGGCTAACGTTTGTCTTCTCTTCCTCTCTTCCCCTGATACCAGCCTGGTTGGGAAGAAAGAATTCACTTGGATGGCCGCACGTTTTACATTGATCATAGTAAGTAGGTGCTGTTATGGACGCATAGGTGTTGCAGGTGAAGGGAGGATGAGGGTAATTCAGATATGACAGTGAAAGCTGTGTCATTTTACTGTTTGTCTAGGCAGCCAGGTGTTATGTGGCGAGGATGATACCAGAGACTCAGTGCCCTCGTACGGTACTGTGCATTCACCCCAGTTTGTTTTAAAGTAGCCCATTCCAGTTTGACCTTGTGACCTATTAACTGTTTTTTTTAATTAAAAAAATTTTTTTTGATTGATGACCCCTTGACTTTTGCGCTTTTAATAAATACACTCTGGTAATAGAAAATAAGATTAGAAGCGATGATTATGTCAGAAATCTGTGTATGAGCAGTGCTTGAAGCAGCCGCTATGTTTTTTAAAAGCTGCCTTCAGAGGTCTCAGGGCAAGATGCCCATTCTGACTTATTTTCTATTCACAGCATGTTTCCCTGCACCCAACACACTAATACATGTGCAGTTCTTTTCTTGAAATTATATTTGCTGCAGACATTTGCTCCAGCTCCTATGAATAAATGTGTGGTTTCTCATGCCAACTAAAAGTTAAACTAATAAAGGTTTGCTTTTAGCCAGTGTTGTTGTTTTTTTTTTTTTCCCCCTTGTTGAAGTGACATTTTCTCCATGGGATCATGTTAGTATATCCCTTAAAACTTCTGAAAATGTATATTGAAAAGAAGCCTTCAAGTAGATTTAAAGTTCACATACGCGTGTGATCTGGTGGAATATATTTATCTTTGTTTTCATTTGGTTCATAAACATGAGCATTAAGTCTACACCGGATTTCCCAGCCTCACGTTTTCTTAACTGATTGCATTGGTTACTTAAGCATGTTGCTGAGCTGACCGGGAAGCGTGGCCTCGTGGGGTCCTCATGTGGGTGGGGCCCGTCACTGTCTCTCATTTCAGGGCCTCTTCCTGGGTTCCTAAGCGACCAGTGCATGGTAGAGACACCTTCGCTTTCAGGCACGGGAGATTGAGGGGTTTTTAGAAATCGAAGTAAGCAAGAAGCCCAACAATTCAGAATTAAACCAAAAGTAGAAGTCCTGGGTGTATTTAGGGGTGTGGGTTACCCTTGCTTAAAATTAGGTAGTTCAAAGTACATAGGCCTCGTTTTTGTCTTCGACCGGTGAAAATGCTGATTCTTGCCTACGTTCCAGAATTTTACAGTGAGCATAGCACTGCCGCCATGAATGCTTTACCATATGCGGGTGCCCCCACTTCCTTCCTTCCTGTGCTAGTTATAATCTTCTTTCTCAGCAGAATTTGCCGAAACAGAAGAGGAGTCACACTGCCTTTTTCCCACTAAAAACAAAAGTTTCCTTTTCAGTTTTTTCATGCATTACAATTTCAGTTTTCAAAGAGAGGTACGAGCAATAATGAGCATTTTATTAAAGCAAGGTCTTAACCGGTAACACAGCCTTGGTCCGCCACACGGAGAGTACTTCACACAACATTGTGGCTGTGTTCCGGCTGGTGGTCTGATGTCAGGTCAACCTGAAAAAGAACTTTATGAAATGTTCTTGATGTACTGTAAGGACCCAGAAACAAGAAAAACACGATTGCAAAGGGCCATCCTAGTATACATTAGAAATTAGAAAAATCATGGACTGTTTTTCTGTAGGCGTGCATAGACCTAGTGTAATATGTGGTAAACGCTTGTTAAATGGTGACTGGGAGTCCATTCACGGAGGGCCAGTGGTGCCGGTGTTGTGTTAGGAAGTTGATGCCCTTGGTTGGAAAGTGGAGAGAACCTGCCTTGAGAGGCAACAGCAGCCGTGCCTCCAGCCTCAGGCCTGCCCAGCTCCTGTTTTCCAGGCGATGGGAAAGGGCGGTTCCTTGCTAAATGCCTGGGTGTTTCCCTTATTCCTAATCATTCCCTCCAAGCTCCTCTCAGACATCCCCCATTCCTCTTTTCCAGACCACACAGCACTTGGGAGGCTCCCCCCTCTTCACTCCTGGGAATCAAACGATAGGATATAGACCACGTACAGAGCCTTGTTGATCTGAGCTATGCCAGTGTGAGATTTGTGATCCTTTACGTGGAGATTAAAGTTTGCCTTTGCTCAACTATACTGAAAAGTTCTCTTAACCAAATACAGTGTAAATTAAATGACCAAAGACTGTGTAAGAAAAAGGTCTGTTTAGGAGAGCCTCATTAGCTGACAATGTGACATTTCTGCCAGGTCTCCCTAATTCATCAAGGTTTATTCAGTGGAAAGCAATAGAGCGGTGTACATATCAATGAAACAGAGTTCAATTCATATGCCTTTTTTAAAAAAACAAATTCCAGTCTGTGAAAAATGAAGCATATCTATCTTTTTTAAGACGCTGTATCAGGTACTCAAACCCCACTCCAAAATGGGTTTCATTGCCTGGAATTTCCTTACCTTCCGAACGAGTCTCTGCTTCTAAACGTTTTTCCCGAATCTTATTTCTAGCAAAATTCAGCATCTCATTTTGCTCTCCTGCTGCCTGCAGGACAGAAGCCAGGCCATCCCTACTACACCATTTGACCGTGAGAGCAGCCATCTTGTAAGGTGCTCAGTCATCCGTCTTCCACTTCACTGGGGCATGTGACTGCACACTGAATATAAAAGGCAGCAGTGCGCTTGTCTCCTAATTCGTTAGGTTTTTTTTTTAATTTTCTGCTTCATAAATTCTTGAGAAGTGAGACATTTTCAAGGTTAAGAATGTTAAAGATGTAATTTCAGGAGAGCATGAATGCTCAATACTAATCTCTTTAGACTTCTAGATGCATTTGATTGACATTTGTCAGAAAGCCTGGTGTCAAAGGGTATACGGGAAGGTCTTGAACTGAATCCCTACCTCCTTTAGGAATAGCGTAGTTCTTCTTAAAGACCCGATATGCCCAGCCACTGAGTACTTGGCCACAGGCAGTTTATATACAGAGCTAGAAAATAAAATTCCAGGGATGCTGTAAGATCCTGTTTTACTCTTTCCTGCTAGCAGTCTTACCAGACCTGTTAATAGTAGCTAAATGGACTGAGTTTTTTATTCTTCTACTTCATTCTCGCCCCTTTATTTGAAATATTATGTCTCAAAGACAAAAAGCAAGTTTAGATTCAAAAGTTTTAGGACAAAATGGGTAACTGGCCACCGACAGTCATATGTCGATAATTCTTAAGTGCAAAACTGATCATTATCGTAATCATACAAGACCCATGTGTGGTTCTGAAAGCCTAGACTGTTTTAAAAAGAATCTGTTTTCGCCATCAGCTTCATTTGGTCATTTAAAAAGTCAGGCTCCTGCTACATGCTGGGAGATGTGTTAAGTGGTGGAGAGGGGGCTGTGGAGATGAACAGCACACAGTTTCTGGTCCTCAAGGGGTTTAGGTTCTAGTAGGGAGTGCCAGGAGGTATTTAAGTGTTGTCTTAGGGGAGTGAACCGGTTGTTACGTAGAAATACTTGCTGAGTGTCTGGGCTCCAGCAGTGGAAGAAGGCTGCAAAAGAGCCTTGTAGAACTTTTCAGGTGGATCCCAAATAATGAGTGAGGTTTAGCCAGGCACGCCCAGCAAAGAGCAATTCTAGGAGGGAGAAAGCGTGCGCAGGTGTGTGAAGCTGTGCAGGTGACACCATGTTCAGAGGAGCGCAGTGGGGTTGCAAACGGCCGGTGTGCCGATGAGGCTGGCGTGACACCCGCGTTAAGTCAAAGGGAGCCTGCTGGTACGGGGACTCGGGTCCCTTCCGCAGCCAGGCGGGAGCGCCTAAGGGATGGTGCAGAAGGGAGTCTGACGCGGTCAGGTTTGTGCTCTAGAGCAGCCGTCCCCAGCCTTTTTGGCACCAGGGTCCTGCCTTGTGGAAGACAGTTTTCCCACGGATGGGGGTGGGGGAGGAGGGGTGGTTCGGGGGTGCTGCGAGCGCTGGGGAGCCGCAGGTGAGGCTTCGCTCGCCGGCCCTCGGCCCGGGGGTGAGATCCCCTTGGCAGAGCTTCAAAGGAAGTTTTGAACGGGGGTGAGTGCGACTGAGGCCAGGGAGACCTAGAGAGTAGTCCAGGGAGAAGATGAGCGCTCGGGAAAGAAGCCTTTTCAGAGAGGTGGGACAGGTGGTGACCACCGGAGTGAAAGGTAAGCTAGGATGGAGGGTATGGCAGGTGCCGGGCTTGAACAGTGGACGGACGGCCTGTGGTGCTGTTGATGAGGAGTGCAGGGTTGTGTGGACCATTTTGGTAGTGGGAGATTATGGGTCAGATTCTGACAGAGTAGGGTTTGAGGTGTTTCCCAGGGGAAATCCAGGTGCAGGTGTCAAGGATGGAGCTCGAGGTTCTGGTTTGGACAGATGTGGGGGTCATCATATGGAGGTAGTAGGTAATTTATTTTCTGGTTCGATGATGGTACCCAGTCTATATATAGTCTAAGGCAGTTTTTACTCAGCTATATTCTTTTTCTTTTATTTCCTTTTCTCCTGTTTTGCATCACAGCAACAGCTCTTAATTTCCAAAAACTTCTGTCTTCAAAGTAAGGGACCCAAAAATACCTTTTGCTTCGTCCATCAGCGGTCTCTGAAACAGTTGAAACAGTTCTTGTAACTTTTCTGCCAGCGTGAATCTAGAATCGTCATGTGCTTTGGTAGCTTAATTTTAAAACTTCACCACTGCTTTTGTTAAAATAGTTATCATACCAGACTTCGAAAAATTCCTGGGATAGTCATTAAAACCAAATTTATTAGTTATTCTTATCAGTCCACTTACGAAGTATACCAGAAAAAAACAGACTGTTCTTCTCAAACAGATCATTTCCTTTTTTACAAACCAACTTAGATTTCCTAACACTCCAGAGAGAAACCTATTCTTCCCCGTCTACCCTCCCCATATCTTTCGTGTGAGTTCATTCCTGCGCCCCCCCCCCATATATACACACAGTAGCATAAAGTCTTTTTAATTAAGGCACAGTCACAAATCCCAAGTGATCCAGGTAGCTAATGTGTGTTTCCACCTACACCATTGAAGCAGTGGTATAGGTGCCATTTACTAATCTTATTGACGTTGACTCATTTGGAAGAAAGAACCACTTCTCACCAGCTTGACCAAAAGGGAAGCTTTTCTCTGGAATCCTCCTCTGTGGTATCTAATTCTCACTTTTTGGACTGCCTTAGCTGTTTTGATTTTTGTGTGCATATGAGTGACACATGTCATGGATTATTCATTTGTTCAACTTAAGCTTTTTAATTGAAAGCCGTTTGCAACACCATAAGCAAAGGAAAGAGTATTTGAAATGAGAAAAAAATCATGTGTGTGTGTTAACTTTTGGGGAACTAAAATCTTTTATGCTTTTCTTTAATTAAATGAAAATCAGCCTCAAGTTATAAATCCTTGAAGGTACAGGGGTTTATAATTGAAATTTCAGCAGATTGCTTGCCCAAAACAGTGTGAATAGATGGTTTTACTTTAGTTGTGCATTTTTGATTGTTTTTAACTAAACAGTATGGGGGGCTGCGGTGCAGATTGCCTTACAGAGTATAGTTCTCTTCTAACCCTGAGATACTAAGTTATTTATCCTTGGGAGTCAGGATGGGGAACTGGGGGAACTTTTGGGAAATCCACAAATAATTCTTTCTAAAACATTTTGGACATGAAATAGATTGAACTAATAAGCCGGCTTTTGTGTTTGTTTTTAAATATTTCCAGATAGCAAAATTACTCAGTGGGAAGACCCAAGACTGCAGAATCCAGCTATTACTGGTCCGGTTAGTATTCTCAAGTTCTGACTCTTCAGTATAATATTTTGGTTTCATCTAAACACACATTTCTTGTATATTCCTGCTTACCTTGATGCCAAGGGCCTGACTGGTGTCCTTGAGGAATTTAGCTTTACTCCCGCCTCCTCCTTCCCGGAATTTCTGGGTGAGGTACAGCTACATTTGCCTTTTCACAGGGCTTTCAATATAAAGGAAAAGAAAATGGTTTGCTAGTGGTAACCAAACTAAACATTCTCTTTTGTCTTTTATAAAAGGGTAGATTAAAAGTATAACAAACAAAATGTCCTCTCTTCCTTTTTTTTTTTTTTTTTTTTTTTGGTGTGGGGCTCTCACTGTTGTTTCCTCTCCCCTTGTGGAGCACAGGCTCCGGACGCGCAGGCTCAGCGGCCGTGTCTCACGGGCCCAGCCGCTCCGCGGCATGTGGGACCCTCCCAGACCGGGGCACGAACCCGCGTCCCCTGGATCGGCAGGCGGACTCTCAACCACTGCGCCAGCAGGGAAGCCCCCCTCTCTTCCTTTTTATATGAAGCAAAACTTTGTCCTGTATTTGTAGAGTTTTTACGTTTCTTGAGGCCAAGGGTAGTATATGTATGCTAACAAATTTAAATTGGATCCGGAATCTCTTCCGGCTCTAAAACTCTGCAAAGGTTTGGGTGAGGGGGTAGCTGCACTCCAGAACTGGCAGTTAAGAATCTTATCTCTGCTGACCCACTAACTTTCTCATAGTCCCCTTATGTGTGTTCATAAGGAAGAGTGACACCCTGGCACTGGTCAGCAGACACCTGGTATCAAACACCTGAAAGGAGTCTGTGGAATACTCCAGAGTCTTTTGTCAGTGGTTACGTGAGTTCAAGGAGAGACTCTGGAATTGCAGGACCTGTACTGGGATGAGCAGAAGATTGCAAATTGGGGAATCTTTTAATAACTGGAGGAGCTAAAGGAAGGGGTGTTTGTTATATCAAGTGCTGAGCTAAGGCACCAATAGGTATATTTAAAATACGAATTTTGTGGCTTTAATCTGATTTGGTTCAAATTACATTTTGAATTATAGGTCCATTTGAAAACTTGAAAGATAATACAGTGCAAACGCACCTTGATACCTGACATCCCTTTAGTTACTTGTTGGATTTGGATTTGTCCAGATGCTTTGCTTAGCGGTTGATGCAAAGTGCCCAATGCCACGTGGGCCAGAACAGGCGTCAGCTCCTCTGCATGTAGCTTAACAAACACCTGCTTCACTACCACGGCTCCTTTTGTTACGTTCACAGTCGCAGTAAGTTAGAGTAGTATTTTCTCTTCTCCATCATGAGAAACAAGGTAAATTCAAGAAACGATGCTGTTTTCAAGCAACAGAAGACTTTTGACAATGATGAAGCCTTTTCAAATATTTCTATTGCTTATTGATCATGTCTTCATGCAACACTGTTAGTTTTTATAATTACTATTGAAAATTATTTAGCATCATAAATCCAGGTAGATTTGCCCTGAAGAAAGCTCTTTCTTTGTTTTCTACTAACAAAAGAGCCTTGTTTACTCTTTTTTTTTATTATTGGTAGTATTTCTTTCAATAAGAGCATGTGTATTTAGGTAATTATTACCTTAGTGTAGATGTAATCTGTTTACCTTAGTGTAGATGTAATCTGTTAAATCTTCGTTTTAATTCAGTTCTAAATTTTTGGTAATTTCCATAATGATTTCTTTCTGTCCTTAACTTACAAATTATTTAGAATATGCTTTTAGTTTCTGAGAGTATGAGAGGGTTTTTACCTGTTTCTTACTGATTTCTGATTTTATTGCATTGTGGTCATATAACATTGTCTATGGAATATTATCAGACATTTGAAACGTCTTTGGAGGCTTGGCCATTTTTTGTTAATGTTCTTTTTGTGTTTGAAAAGAGTGTGTATTCTGTCTTTGCTGGGTATAGAGTTCTTTATATACGTCTGTCACATCAGGCCTGTGGTGTTCAAATTTTCCATTTCCATGACAACATTTTTCCTGGCTTTTCTTTATCTAACCGAGTCAGCTGGGTCAGCATCTCCCATGGTGACTGTGGCTTTGTCGGTCATTATGTTCACTTTCTCTTCACTAGTACTTGCCTAGTATATCTTTTCTGTCCTTTAACTATCTCTGTTTTATCTTTTTTCTTGCTTTCTGTTGGACTGATAGAGTACTCTTTATTTTCTTTCATTTGCTATACTTGCTTGGACGTTGTATTTTCTATTTCTGTTCTTTTGGTGCTCACGTTAAAATTTTTAACCAATATACTTGACCGTTGTCAAAATTAATCACTCTCTACTCTTTTCCTGGATAATATATGACTTTGGGGAACTTCAGTGCTGTTCTTCCCGCTCCTACTTTCCATTGTTCAGTGGAATTTTAAAACTACCTTGTCCTTAAACTTGCCAAATAATCATTAATATTTTCTCTTTTTTTCAAGAGTCAATGCTTGTTTAATTTACTTATATGTAAACAAATTCCTTTGCCCACCATTGTTCTTTTTTTTCTAATATCTTTATTGGAGTATAATTGCTTTGCAATGGTGTGTTAGTTTCTGCTGTATAACAGAGTGAATCAGCTGTACATGTACATACATCCCCATATCTCCTCCCTCTTCTGTCTCCCTCCCACCCTCCCTATCCCACCCCTCTAGGTGGTCACAAAGCACCGTGCTGAGCTGATCTCCCTGTGCTATGTGGCTGCTTCCCACTAGCTATCTATTTTACATTTGGTAGTGTATATATGTCCATGCCACTCTCTCACTTCGTCCCAGCTAACCCTTCTCCCTCCCCGTGTCCTCATGTGCATTCTCTACGTCTGCGTCTTTATTCCTGTCCTGCCCCTAGGTTCTTCAGAACCCATTTTTTTCTTAGATTCCATATATATGTGTTAGCATATGGTATTTGTTTTTCTCTTTCTGACTTACTTCACTCTGTATGACAGTCTCTAGGTCCATCACCTCACTACAAATAACGCAATTTCGTTTCTTTTCATGGCTGAGTAATATTCCGTTATATATATGTGCCACATCTTCTTTATCCATTCATCTGTCGATGGACACTTCGGTTGCTTCCACGTCCCCATCATTGGTTCTTGCATCCACTTTTTCCAGGTTAAGTTTTCTCCTTAATAAAGTTTAATCTCTAGTTCATGGTTCTCAAAGTGTGGCCTATAGATCAACAGCATCATTCAGAAGCTTACTAGAAATGTAAATTTGGGGCTCCCAACCCAGACCTACTGAAAAGCAGCAACTTTGGTTGTGGGCCCTGCGGTCTGTGTTTTAACATACGCTCCCAGGGATTCTGACGCTGACTCAAGTTTGAGAACCTCTTCTCTGGTGACAATTTCAGTGAGGGTCTGAGAGAGGGGGGCTTACCTACCTCTCTGTTAAATGATAGTTTAGCTGATTATAGAATCCTTGGTCAACAATTTCTTTCCTTCAGTACTTTGGAGACTTTTTTTTTTTGTCTCTTCCGGCCTCCATAACTGATGATGAGAAGTTCGTTGTCACTCTAATTGTCATTTTTTTGGTGAGTAAATCTCTCTTCTCTAGTGATTTTGAATTTTTCTCCGTGTCTTTGATTTTCTACAGTTTTACTCTCATGAATCTAAGTGTGGATTTCTTTTTATTTATTCCGCTCTGGATTCATTGTGACTCTTCCATATGGGGATGGTGTCTCTCCTTTATGCAGGAAAATTCCTTGCAGTTATTTCTTCACTTACTGTACCTTTCCCATTTTTATTATCTGCATCAGTAATTCCTATTGGGTATTTGATTCAGTTTTACATTCTGTCTCTCTTATCTTTTAGCTTTCCGATCTTCTTTCTCATTGCTGTATTGTGGGCTCAGCTCTTCCAGTTAATTATCTTTTAAGCTTTTTATAATCTACTCTATCAGTTCATTGTGTCTATTATTTCAGTGACTGGATTTAATTGCTCAAAGTTCTATTTGGTCTTTTTCGATTTGCTTGGTCTTTCTGGTTATTGTTATTTGGTCCTATTCTTCCCTTTTATTTATTTTTCTATTCGTACTTACAGCTTTTTAATCATTCTTAAAATATTTGTTCCAGCGCCTCTTCTAGATTATTTTATTATCTCTGCTTCTAGGGGCATTAAATCTCCCACTTGTTATGTCTGTAGACTCTCCTCAGTGGTATTTGATTGCCTAGTTCAGTTTATAATTTTGTGTTTTTAAGTGTGTGTGCGTGCTCATCTTCATTTTTTTTCTTTATGGGGCTTTTATACATCCTGACTTGTATTTACTGTTAACTTCTTAGCTTGGGTTTATGCCCCCTTAGTTACTATAACTGTGGACCTCCTACCTACGTTGGTGTAGGCTTGGGAGTCTGAATTTATTAGAGGTCTGGTTTTTTTGTTTGTTTTTCTTCCGGTTACCATCCTGGATAGAAGGGAAGCTTCCTTGCAACTCTCCCAGGCCTGTGGGTAGAATTTTCTTGAACCCTGTTCAGATGTAGGTCTTAAGCAGGGAACTCTGTCTGACTCCCCTGGTCATTACAGACTGTAGGCCGTGCTCTGTGTCCCCATGTGAGGATTAAAAACCCAAGCCCAAGCCCCAAGTCTAGGTCCAAAGCCCACTTCTTTAATTTTGTCTTTCTGCATATCTGGTACCTAGAGTTTTTTTCCCAAGTTTTAAAAGTACCTACATATTAGGGGAGAGGGGACCCTTCTGTGGCATTACTGTGAGTCAGTATGCTGTCTGTGTGACAAGCATCACCATTAAAAGCATTAGAAACGTGAAGTGCTATTTGTAGTTGCTACTCAAGAACACTATCTCATGCTTGTGTAACACTTTGTACTTATTCAAGGACTTTATAATCAACTGCTTTGAAACTCACAGCAATCCTCTCAGTATGGTGGGGAAGGAGTTGGGATTCCCAATTTGTCAGCAGCTCAGAAAGCTAATTGCCAAAAGTTTGGCACATGTCAGAATCCAGGCCAGAGCCCCAGATGTGCTGGCTTTACCGATGTCTCCGTATCAGGCCTGAGCCCTTCTCTGCAAGGAGCTCCGGTGTCCGTAATGGACAATAATGGCATGAAAACCTTTAGACCCCACTTACACAATGTCAGGTTTTCATTTTGTTCAAAAAAGAAAGCATATTTAATAGCAACTTTAATCAACAGATATGTTAATTCTTTAAATAGCTTATCTTACACATTATATTGCATGTAAGAAAATAAGATGCCAGATTTTCAAGAGAGAATAAATAATTTGGCCTGTCCAATGCAGAAATGTAATTCTCTTCAGAGGCTGCAACGTATGGATGTCTTTATCCTGGTATGTTGTTGGAATCTTTTCAGGAGAAGAATATAAAAACCTACTCTTCTTAGGCCATCATAAGAACGACCCCTAGAGAGACAAGATGAGTATTGGAGGAGGAGGGGTATTTCTCAACTTTCATGCATCATTCCCCAGAAGAAGAAAGACCAGAAATATCTCAGTACTGATTTCCACCGACATCTAGTCAGCACCCACCAGGTTACACGCCGGACAAAGGCAGAGATACCATGGGCGGGGGGCAACACTTTGAAATATATTCCTTGGGAAACTTGTCATTTAAGACAGTTGAACTTGCATTCACAGTGATGAATGTTTAACCCTTTTTTCAACGTTTTCAGGCAGGGAAACAAAAACGAAAAGTAATTGCTGGGAATCACAGATTTTTGGAAAGGGAAGAGCCTTAAAATTTGACTAGTCAAGTCTTTCTGCTTAACTGTGAAGGAATTCCGGAGTGGAGAAGTTATATCACAGAGCTAGCTGGCAGTAGAGTCTGCCCTGGAAGTCATGTCTTCTGAAGCTGGCATGAGATAATAAAAGGAAATCTTTTTTTTTTTTCAGCTTAATTTTCTTCTGTTACAGTTAATCATAGCTAAGAACATCAAATACTTTTCCTCTTTTGAGAACTCGCTGTTCCTGTCGTGGTTTGTTCCCTCCTGTCATTCTGGTTTCTGCTCAGATTTCCCTTTCTCAGCTGCCTTCCCCAACCATCTCATGTAAAACAACCACTGAGGAACTCTATCATTTTTCCACCTAGCATTTACCACTATGTATTCATTTATTTCTTATTGCCTATTGCTCACAATAGCTTCTAAAAAAGCTACAGAGCAAAAAGCATGATAATGCCTTTATTGGCTTATGTCAGACCATTGTATCCTTTTCCTTAGGTTGGTGGTTGTCCAGATAGTGATAAAATGTCTACCTTTCTGGAATCAGAATTCTTACAGTGTTTCATCAGACTAAACGCTGCCCAGAATAAATACGAAATGTAGTCAAATCTAATGTTCAGTGAAGAGGCACGTGAAGACTGGCTTAAAAATTAAAAGCTAAGAACAGACCGTAGGTAGTATTGTCTTTAGAATGTTCTTAAGACACTTAAATATGTTGTCTTTTGCTCTTGAATTACAAAGCAAAATACTGACATGATCATTGTCTTCTATGAGAGTAGTAACTTTTTCTTTTTTAACATCTTTTTTGGGGTATAATTGCTTTACAATGGTGTGTTAGTTTCTGCTTTATAACAAAGTGAATCAGTTATACATATACATATGTTCCCATATCTCTTCCCTCTTGCGTCTCCCTCCCTGTAACATGTTTTTGTTTTGCCTTACTTATTATTTGTATGACCATGTCTTAAAACAGTATGAAGGGAGGAAGCTTTTGTTCTTCATTTCTCCTCTTTCCTGTCAGGAGTAAGCATGGTGAAGGTGTAAGGTTTCGAGTCTGGAGACACTTTGCAAAGGATCAGTATTTTATTAATGTAGCACAAAATGATATCAGCAGAAGTATTCTTGCCCAAATTCACACTATGCGCTAAAAAGCAACGAGTTGTTCTGACTGTGAGGCTGTCACAGTTACGTCCAGGTGTGTGCATAAGCAGTCCTTTCTGCTTCATAAAAAAAATTGTAAGCCTTTTCCATCGCCTGAAGTCACAGCTCCGACTCTCGGATACTGTAAGCTACTTGACATCATAGCAAGTACCGAATATTTAAATGACTATATAAAATGTAATTACTTTGCCTGAAGAGATTCCAGAACTTATGAATAATGTTAGCTCAGCTCCTGAGCTCACTCCTGCGGTATCATCACTCTGCTCCGTAGATACAGCATTCCAGATTTAAAGAAACCCTTGCCCACGACCTCTAAATAGTCAACTCCTAAAATGAGGACTTTTCCAACATGCTGTTTACCCAGTTTTTTTCCTTGACAAGTGTATCAGTTCGCTTGCCTTTCTGCTTGTTACTTTTCTCCCAAAGTTTTTTTTTAACATATTTATGGGAGTATAATTTCTTTACAATGTTGTGTTAGTTTCTGCTGTATAACAAAGTGAGTCAGCTATATGTATACACATATCCCATATCCCCTCCCTTTTGCGTCTCCCTCCCACCCTCCCTATCCCACCCCTCTAGGTGGTCACAAAGCACCGTGCTGAGCTGATCTCCCTGTGCTATGTGGCTGCTTCCCACTAGCTATCTGTTTTACATTTGGTAGTGTATACATGTCCATGCCACTCTCTCACTTTGTCCCAGTTTACCCTTCCCCCTCCCCGTGTCCTCAAATCCATTCTCTATGTCTGCGTCCTTATTCCTATCCTGCCCCTAGGTTCTTCAGAACCAATTTTGATTTTTTTTTTTTAGATTCCATATATATGTGTTAGCATACGGTATTTTTTCTTTTTCTGACTTACTTCACTCTGTATGACAGACTCTAGGTCTATCCACCTCACTACAAATAACTCAATTTCATTTCTTTTTATGGCTGAGTAATATTCCATTGTATATATGTGCCACATCTTCTTTATCCATTCATCTGTCGATGGACACTTAGGTTGCTTCCGTGTCCTGGCTATTGTAAATAGTACTGCAGTGAACATTGGGGTGCATGTGTCTTTTTGAATTACGGTTTTCTCAGGGTATATGCCCAGTAGTGGGATTGCTGGGTCGTATGGTAGTTCTATTTTTAGTTTTTTAAGGAACCTGCATACTGTTCTCCATAGTGGCTGTATCAATTTACATTCCCGCCAACAGTGAAAGAGGGTTCCCTTTTCTCCACATCCTCTCCAGCATTTATTGTTTGTAGATTTTTTGATGATGGCCATTCTGATTGGTGTGAGGTGACACCTCATTGCAGTTTTGATTTGCATTTCTCTAGTGATTAGTGATGTTGAGCATCCTTTCATGTGTTTGTTGGCAATCTGTATATCTTCTGTGGAGCAATGTCTAGTTAGGTCTTCTGCCTATTTTTGGATTGGGTTGTTTTTTTGATATTGAGCTGCATGAGCTGCTTATAAATTTTGGAGATTAATCCTTTGTCAGTTGCTTCATTTGCAAATATTTTCTCACATTCTGAGGGTTGTCTTTTCGTTTTATTTATGGTTTCCTTTGCTTTGCAAAAGCTTTTAAGTTTTATTAGGTCCCATTTGTTTATTTTTGTTTTTATTTCCATTTCTCTAGGAGGTAGGTCAAAAAGGATCTTGCTGTGATTTATGTCATACAGTATTCTGCCTATGTTTTCCTCTAAGAGTTTTATAGTGTCTGGCCTTACATTTAGGTCTTTAATCCATTTTGAGTTTATTTTTGTGTATGGTGTTAGGGAGTGTTCCAATTTCATTCTTTTACATGTAGCTGTCCAGTTTTCCCAGCACCACTTGTTGAAGAGGCTGTCTTTTCGCTATTATATATTCTTACCTCCTTTATCAAAGGTGACCATGTGTGTGTGGGTTTATCTCTGGGCTTTCTATCCTGTTCCATTGATCTGTATTTCTGTTTTTGTGCCAGTACCTTACTGTCTTGATTACTGTAGCTTTGTAATATAGTCTCAAGTGTAGGAGCCTGATTCCTCCAGCTCCGTTTCTCCTTCTCAAGATTGCTTTGGCTATTCGTTTCCCAAAGATTTTTAAAGCACAATTAGTCTTTTCTGAACGACAGTGTAGGTCATTTGGAGTTGTGTGTTAAAGTATGATAGCCAATAACTTACCTAAACTACAACCTATAAAAAGATTACAATGTACCCTGATGCATATTCAGACAGAAGTCACATGGAAAGTCTATTCAGTTTATGTATAGTACCTCTAAATGATTCCTTGAATATCTGTATTGTTGTTTTCAGGGGTGAAAGCCCTATTCAGTGCTGATTAACCTTAATCATTTCTAGAACGTTCGCATGTGCTACATAGACATTATGTAAATTTCAGTGGTTATATGGAGAGTGACGATTTTAAGGTTCACGATTCATGAAATTTTCTGAATGTTGGCTTAGTACACATAAAATTTCAAACACGTTGTTCATATTATCTATATTTATACATTTGTCTTCCAGGCTGTTCCTTACTCCAGAGAATTTAAGCAGAAATATGACTACTTTAGGAAGAAATTAAAGAAACCTGTGAGTACATATCTTCCAAAAATGCTGTTTTAGTCATTTGTAAGTTACCCAAATTACTTCACTGAGAACAACTCGTTTCTTACTGTTACGTGTATACTAAAAATATGACCTTCCTTTTCTCACTGCACTTTGATCCACCTGGATCTTCAATCTGAATTTTCTTTTTAACAGACATGGTAAGTGAAGATTAACTTAGTATTACATATCAAATCACCTGAAGGTAATTTCTTATGTAATACATTAAAAAATAGAAATGATTTTTATGAGGTATAAAATAATTCAGGAACTAGTGGAAAAATGTGGAGAAGCCTATGCAATCAATTATGGCTATCCTATTTAATAAAACCTAGATCCTAATTCGAAAAATGTTCCAGTCCCTTTACATTCAGAAATACAGTTTTAATAATGATATGTACAACAAAAATATAATTTATAATATTTGACATATTAAGACCAAGTGTAATTTTCAGATTAAAATTCTTACTAGGAAACCCGTTAAGATTCTGACAAAACTGAGAAACCCTGTAAGGCTTTTTACAGGCAGTGTTTTAAAATACAGTATTATATTTTCTACTGACATCTCTCCCCAGATACTTTAATACTATGTCTTCTGTTTTACTTTCTGATTTCACCTCTCTGGTGTAAATTTTACCAGTTTTCTCCTAAGTTTGTGCCTTCACTATTTTGGGGGTGTTTTTGTTCCCGTCACCATTTCTTGGCTTCCTCATTGGGGAAAGCTGCAGCTCAGATCACCCCCATTTGCCTGTGTTCCTTCCCCATCTCCCCCACCGCGCTCCACTCCCTCAGCTGATGCCTCATTTTCCTGGCCTCTGCTATGGATGAGGCACTGGGGATGCAGAGACGCTTGAAACACAGCCTCTGCCTCGGGGAGCTCCCTCTTACGGGTTCTGTTCTCTCTTCTAACATCCTGACTCAAGGAGCTCCTGGGTAACTCCTTCTGAAATGACTCAAATTTGAACCTGTGGAATTCCAGTGTTTCTTTGTGAGTCGCCTGCATTTCCTCCAGTGATGTGATGACTGTAGATATCACGCTGTCTCACTTTGTGGCACTTGCACCGTGGTACCTTCTGCCTGGAAACTGACTCTGTAGATCCATCATCCTGGCAAAGCTGACCCTGGACCTGTTTTGCCAGGAAGCAGTTATTCACAACTTCAATCAAGTGCTTTTTTATTTTCACGTTTAGTAACTGTTGCCTTTGGGATGCTTTCCCACAACTTGGCCGTGATAATCAGGGTCCCACTCCCCGTGGCAACAGAACTAGCTTGTAGGCATCATGGTCACGGCTACCAGCTGGAGTCCCTACCAGGGCTGAGGGTCGTCCCAGCCTGGCCAGGTGGGGATTGTCTATGGGTTTTAATCCCCTGGACTATAGTCCCTTTCTTTGACTAAAACAGTGTACAGAGTTGACCATATTTCGGTTGCCAGTGGGCGGATAAGTGCCCCACAGTTGCTTATAAAAGGGAGAGAGGACGACTGTCTTCACTCAGCATAGTTTCTTCTGCAGCGCGTGTTGCTGGCTCAGTCTGACACCTGCTGGTGGATGCTGTGTGTCTCCTCCTGACATAGGCTTTCTGTCTGTGTGAAGAACAATCTAGAAAGGAGAGCGTTTCGGTTGGAACCATTCGTCATTGCTTGTTTATTTGAAGGCTGCCATCATTTCTGCTCTTTGTTTTTGTTTTTTTTTTTCTGTTAGGAAGTAAGGTGTATATTTACTGTCTGATGGTGTGGGGGGGGGGTTTTTCTCTTGTTTTTAGGCTGATATTCCAAATAGGTTTGAAATGAAACTTCACAGAAATAACATATTTGAAGAGTCCTATCGGAGAATCATGTCTGTGAAAAGACCAGATGTCCTGAAAGCTAGGCTGTGGATTGAATTTGAATCAGAAAAAGGTCTGGACTACGGGGGCGTGGCCAGAGAATGGTTCTTCTTACTGTCCAAAGAGATGTTCAACCCCTATTACGGTCTGTTCGAGTACTCTGCAACGTAAGTGTCTGGAGTGCATTCAGGTGTCCGCACTGAAGCAGTTTTATTCTTCATGAATTTAAACTTAATGAAAGAATAAGCAGCTCACTCAGAGGTGAATTAACACTGCTGATTTCAGCCCCTCCCCGCCAGCCCTTATAGGTCTAGAACAGGTCTGACTCCACATGGTGAACTAACCTACTCTGTGAACACCTAAAAATAATTCTTCTCTTGTCTGTTGTGTTCATGTAATTGAGATTGAAAATGTGTTGGGTACTTAACGGTAAGGAACAAGGCAATTTTCATTCATAATGTTATGTTAATTTAGGAGAATTTGTCACTGTCAGAATTCAGAAGGTTGTTGTCTTATGAACAAGAATAGTTTCTGAAGTCAAATTACTTCAAGACAAACTGAGGACCCGTCCTTTAGGATCCAAAGGACCATGCCCACCCCACCTTGCATTAGGATTTCATCACTGCCAGGCATGCAGACCGAGGCAGAGTCCATTGCTTTCTCGGGAATCAAACATTGCTACTTGCAAGGCCACCCTTTCCTCCTCCAGGCGGCGGCTTCTCCAAAGGCTTAGGCAGGACCCGAGCCCCCAGTAAAACAGTTGACCTTGAAAAGCAGCCTGTGCTCTGCAGGGACAAGGGTTCTCCCGTGTCTTCCCCCTGGTGCCGGTCTCCTGGGGAGCTCTTTTGGAAGGCAGCCTCAGTGTTCTTCTCCGATGCTCCGGCCAAGAATTTCCCATTTTGTAAAATTGATAAAAGCCATTGAAGTGGAGGGGAGGATCCAGAGGCGAGATCTGCACCTCTTACCCACATTCCCAAAGCTGCCCCCAGAAGAATCTGGCCCCGGAGCCCATTTTGCAAACCACCGATCCTCCTGATGGTGAGATCAAAGGGTGATGAGGTGCATGTCAACATCTTGAGGTTTGCACTGTTGGGACAGCCGTATGTTGCTACCAGTGGCCTCCAGGCCTTTCAGGGCAGAATGCTGGTCAGATGGATCAGGGGTTGGACCCCTGGGAAAAATTTTAATCCCCAAACCAAAAGCTTCTCAAGGGAGTTAACCCCCTTTCTCACAGAGACAACCTGTTGCACTCACACATAGCTGGGAATCCATGTCCAGCCCCTTTGGTATGTGGGGCTTCTCAGCTTCCCAAAATACTTGGCTGAACCGTACGAAATTGAGATTTTTGTCGATCAACAGTAGTCAGATATCCAGTTTCTCACGGTTTAACATAACGGCATATTCACCAGCTCTAGTAGACCTCCGTCCTTGGTCACGGAAAAGGGCTAACCAAATAAGCCCCGTTGTCTAGCTTTTATGCCTTATCTGTCAGGTACAGGATGTTTGTAGGCACACTGTAAAAGCTTAATGACAGGCAGCACTGGAAAATTCAAATTCTTGCATTTCTTATTTATTGCATTTATTTACCACCTTTCTTTTTCTCTCTCCCCCTCCCTAAAAAGGGACAACTACACACTTCAGATCAATCCCAATTCGGGCCTCTGTAATGAAGATCATTTGTCCTATTTCACTTTTATTGGAAGAGTTGCTGGTCTGGCAGTATTTCATGGGAAACTTTTAGATGGTAAGTTATTAAAAAGTGTTGAAGTAATAAAAATTGGACAGTGCTGTCTGTGGTCTCTTATCAGGTGTCTTATCTTTCACATCATAGGTTTTAAGCAAAAGTGCTTCACTGGTCCTCCCTCTGTAAATCAGTAGTTTCTTTAATGTTTTGTCCATAATGAAGGTGCTTTTTTTTCCTGGTGTCATCTTAGTCTGAGCACTGAAGACACAGTGTCTACACACAGTTTGAAAAAGGTTTTTTTTTTGAAAAACTTAAGTGTGAAGCACAGAACATTCTGTATTTGTGCATTTTCTATGTTTTCCAGAATAACATTTCTTTAGCAGGAACTAGATTTGATGATAGATGGAAAGTATTGATTGAAAAGTTCATTAAAATGGCCTAATTCAGCCAGTATCCTGCCATTGTCCTGTTTGTCCCCAAATTACCATTTTTTTGAATGTGAAGAGACTGTAAATAATTTCAAAGCAGTGTTATAACTCAGCTAAGACCTTGACCCCTGGGATCACTGCTGAAACAGATGGCACAGAATAATCTCATTATTATCTAAAGCACGTAAGTCATGCAAAGTACCAAGAATTTCAAAGTACCTTGGAAGTCAGGAGTGAAACCCCCCTCCCTGGCTGAATCAATAGGCTTATAATAGAGACTTCTTATGGATTTGGTCATTGAACAAGTAGTGCCCTTAAGAGAACATTACAGAGATCATCAGTGAGGAAAGAGAATCAGAAATATTTTTGAAGAATTTAGGTGTGAAATGGTTGAGAGTAGAAGACAGATCAAGATTTAAGATTGACACTGCAGTTACTGTAGAGAGACGTTTCCAGGAGAATTATGGGAATTGCATTTGTGGAACCTTAGCTATGCTAGTTGATGTACCCTGTGTACTTTCTCCTTTAATAAATTTTTACTGGTAATGGCTAGCTGATTTTGATCCTCTAATTTCAACATTGTATTTTTTCCGGGGGGCGGGGCTGGTGGCAGGAGTAAACACTTTTTTTCTGACTGGGGGAAACTGGCCTCACTCTGTATAGGTATATACAGTGAATGTATTTTAATTTGCAGCACTGGAGTCATGCCATAGATTATTAGAACGGCCGTTATGTACCTTCCGCCGAGAAAGAAGACGTTCTTAGTTGCTACAGGGGAAATAGAGAGAAGTTTAAGCTGAGATCCTGACCTCAGGGGACCGATGTTCTAGTGAGGGTACGGGAAACATGGGTCCAGAGTCCAGCAGAAGGGAGCACACGGAGGTCTCTGGGGGGGAGCGCTTTACCGGCATTAGCCTCGCCGGGAGGCTGTGGTGGGGTTGGCGCACTTAGAAGCTGGGATCGTTTCAGAAGAGCAAGGACGGGCCAAGAGTCAAGGCTGCCTGGAATAGTGATGGGGGCATCTAGGTCCCTGCTGCAAAAGGAGATAGGAGGTAACCGTGTCCTCGGGAATTGCAAGAAGAAGAGCCCGAATGCCCCCCAGGTGTGTGGCCAGCAGTGTCTTTGTTTCCCGGGACCATGAACGGCCCTGGAGGCAGAGCAGACACGCTGCACGTCAGATCAGCCCCTACTCCCTTCTGTGGCTTCACCCCCCAGACAGCAGGGGCTTTGAGCCTCAGCCGCAGGGCCACACTGAAGCCAGTGGGAGCGGGAACGGGCTGCAAGGGTGGCTGGTTAGACCTGGAGGGGGCGCTGAGGATGGGAGTTGAGGGTGAAGGGGGAGGACTGAGGTTCCGGGGGCACCTGTGTCAGGAGGTGCCTTCCTAAACCCCTTCCCCCAACCCTGCCCCAAACCAGGCCCTCATCTTACTGTAGAAAACCCTCAATTATTCTGTCCTGGTCTCTCATTCAGATGAAAGCAGGTTAATCTTTTATTTCATGCTCGGATGCACAGCATCGTCAAAGATTTGAGACTAACTCAGTTTTCACCGCGTTTTAGGTTTCTTCATTCGACCGTTTTACAAAATGATGCTGGGAAAGCAGATAACTCTGAATGACATGGAGTCTGTGGTGAGTAAACAGAGGTCACTCCCGCGGGCCGCACCAGCAGCTTGTGCATTATGGGAAGGCAGCTGAGACCATGTTGTAGTCACAGCAATTTTTATGGGCGTCGCCATTCAGTATGGACAACAGGGATTGTTCAAGAGGCTAACTGATCTCCCTAAATTTTTTAATAAGCAAATCATTGTTCACATTTCCTAGAGTCGTGGTATTTAGGGCGGGTACACCCACATCTCAGTTACCTCTGCTTACTCGGAACTGGTTTGACCAAATTAAATCCAAGGGTCATTTGGAGACCTCATTGCTGCCCTTGCTTTCCATGGAAAACTGCTAATACTGCACACTTAGAGGTTCATCTGCTATCTCTCTGTTTTCTGACCTCAAAGAATGGCAGGGAGCCAGACCAAAACAGTAGATGAAGGGAAGACTATTTATACTCATCCCAGATACGGAAGAAGAGTAAGTGACCACTACAGTGCAGGAGAGGAATGAAAAGTTAGAAAATAATTGCTAACTTTTGATTTGGGTTTTCGTGCTGCATTTAACTTATTTAATCTAGGCTGACCATTTTAGAGTTGAAAGGCTTTTCTATAAAGAACAAAAGTTGATGCTCTTTTCCTGGTATACTTTTGCTTCCGTCTTTCGTTTAATTTACCTGTACTCCCGCCATTCACCTCGCACCTCTCACCATTCACCAGCCACACACGGGGCCATCAGGAAGCATCTTCGTCCATTTGGGGTGTTTGCAGCTCTGCTTTCACGTTCTGTCACTTGAGTCAGAAAGCATCTTCCTCCCCTCAGCCTCGCTGCCGTGTTGACTGTACGTGTTGTGTAGTTGGGTATATGAGCCGTGTACCCCTCCCTCACAGCTCATCCTCTGGGTGTGGAAGGAGAGTAGAAGGCCAGCAGTGCACACAAGTCCACTGAGCTGGGTTTTCCCCGGGCGGGCAGCTCTGTGTATCCATGGTACCCGTGTCGAGTTTCCTTCCCTTCAGCTTTTACCTGTAGCGTAGGCTTTATGCTTTTGTTCCTGTATGGTGAGGAAGCTAGGAGTATAAAAATCTCTCTCCAAGTCTAAGGTAATTTTATTCGCCATGTTGACAGTCGGTGCACACATTCTGTTTGGTCTTCGTCGAACCCCTGGGGCTGCCCAAGAGACAGAGGGGTCCAGGCTCTCGGGGCCTGTGTTCTGGGCTTTGACGCCAGGGCAGCCTCTTCCTGTTTGCTCACAGTGACTTGCAGAGGGTGCTGGAAGCACAGGAAGGGGCACAACTTGAAACCATTGGTATTTAGGTAGAGCGTTCTCTATCCTTCCTCCTTTCCTCTGATATTTTCACTCTTAAAAGATGGGGAGTATGTTCATCTCTACATGTTCAGTTCCGTAATGTTATGACGGCCATCCAGAGCAGGCTGCTTCCTCTTGACAGAGGACAGGATCCAACTACAAACCCCTGTTACTACCAAAGCAGTTTTTTAGTTTGTATTTTTAAATTAAAGTGGAAGAGAAGGTTTGGGGTAGAGCTGGAAACATATTAGTGACTCAGGCATTTCTTGAGATTCTGGATGGAATTACATTTAAAGGACATAATTATTTAAAGAAGTGAGTGTGTATTTTGGGAAAAAATGCTTAATTTTAATTTCTGTGTCATTTCTGTAGGATAGTGAATACTACAACTCTTTGAAATGGATCTTAGAAAACGATCCGACTGAACTGGACCTTATGTTTTGCATTGATGAAGAAAACTTTGGGCAGGTACGTGTGGGTAACCCCACCAGCTCCGCCTTGACTCTCAAAGAGTCTTTGCTTCTTTGAGTCTTTGCTAATTATCATGTGATTGTATCAGTATCTTATTGTCATGCCAGGAAGCCAAGTCCCAATCACAGCTGCCTCTCTTCCTGCAAAGTTAGAGAAATTCTGAGGCCTCTGGTGTGTGAAGTAGCACCTACTTCTCAGTTCTAAAGCAGATCTGAATGTGAATGTTTGTGCCTTGGTTTTTTGGGGGTTTTGTTGTTGTTGTTGTTGTTTTTGCGGTACGCAGGCCTCTCACTGTTGTGGCCTCTGCCGTTGCGGAGCACAGGTCCGCGGCATATGGGATTCTTCCCGGACCGGGGCACAAACCCGTGTCCCCTGCATCGGCGGGCGGACTCTCGACCACTGCGCCACCAGGGAAGCCCTGTGCCTTGGTTTTAAAATTTAGATACTTCAAAAAAATAGTGTAAATGTTTACTTAGTGATATAAATACATGACCAGGAGTAGGTGATGCCTGGGGGGGGGGCCTTGGTTTTTTTCCCTCTGCTTTAATGGTTCCCTTGTCATGGTGCAGTTCGTCTTTGGGGGCTCAGCAGGCTCAGGGTTTTCTAACGTTCCTTCTTGCTTTGCACCAATACTGTCTTTAAGGCTGGATTGACCATAAAGATCAATTTCAAAGATAAAGTCCTTCTTGGAATTCTCATCATCATCCCAAAGTTCTGTAGGAGGTGTTTGTCTTCAACCTGAGACCTTTGGTTCATTTGTCCCCCGGTGATAACGATGCTTTTGGGAAGGACTTCTCAGGATTATCCAACCCCTGGTACCTGTCCTTTCACAAAAGCCCAGAGAGAGTTCCCATCTACCAGACCAAGTGTACGTGGCCTTGGCGTTCATGAGACCATGGAGCCCGTTTTAAGGGTTGCTAATGGAACATGACATTGATTGGCTCCGCTGTCCAAAAAGTGTGCTCACGTTGGCTGCCGTTTCACGATGCTGTGCTCAGTTTTATAGGTGAGGTAAGGAAATCGGGTCCCTGCCCTCTTGGGTTCGCAGTCTTAGAAGAAAGAAGCTGGTGCCGCTGGATACAAAGAAATTAATGACACGTGGGGTAAAAACTGTTGTGAAGGAACGTGATCACACACACCAAAATCACTTGTTACATCCGCTCAGGCCAGGAAACCGTCACTCGTGTGAGTCCCAGAAGTGGGTGGGTCTCAGGGAGCCTGTGTTTTCTTTCCTTCCTGGTCGGTTGAGTTGAGGCACCAGGAATGAGAGAGACCCTGGGATTAATGGAAATCATCAACGAGTCCATTAAGAATCTCATTTTGCCCTCCCCATCCTTTTTCGCTCCGTACTGTGTTTCATGCCCCCAAACCTTCACAGACCGATGGACACTGCCGTCCTTGTGGGAGTCCTGTCGTGGGGTGGGGGAGGGAGATCTCTTCTGCACCACGCCCAGAGCTGTCCCCTCCAGGTTAGCGGTGGCCCCCCTGCCCAGGACTGAATGTAAATGGATTCTGGCCCTTGTCTGCTTCCTTCCTCCACTGCTCCCTCCCCTGAAGCCCCTGCAAGTCACCCCCACTTCACCCCTTCTCCCCACTCCCCACCCCGCTCCGCTCTTCTCCTTCCACCTCTCCTAAGCCCTGCTGCTCTGCTGGCCCCGTGACGCCGATGCTCCCCTGCCCACTTCTTTCCTTGTCCTGCCCTCGCTCGCTGGGCGGCCTCCCTCTGCGCTGCTCACCGCCAGCCTCTTACCTGCAGCCCACACCCTTCCTCTAGCGTCCAGATTCCCCCTGCTTCGGCTGCCTCCCGAGCCGTGTCTCCTGAAAGACCCACAGGTCCCCGAACTGAAAAAGCCACTTCCTCCTCCCGACCCCCCGTCTCCACTCCGGTCTAACCAGTGGCCACACCCTCCCCTCCGGCCTGAAACTGGAGTCCCCTTGGAATCGTCCCTCTCCCTCCGTGTCCAGCCGGTCACTGCGTCCTCTAGCCCCAGCCTGCTCATCGCTCCCCTTGTCTGCACCCTTCCCTTGTTGAGGCTCTGCCGGTTCCTTGGCTGTGTCGTGTAGCGGTCTCCCTGGTCCCTACATCGCCCCTCGCTCCAGTCCGTTCTCTGATGCCTCCACACATATGCTCCGGATGTAGTGGTTCTGAAGAGCAAACCTGGACCTGTAACTCTTCTGCTCGACACACATTCTTCACTGGCCAGCCTGTGCACTTCAGTGTGAATTAAAACCTTTCCTGCACGGCTTGGGACCCCTCGCTGCCCACCTCTACCTTCCCTCCCAACACCTCCGTCCTCTCACCTTCACAGCCATGGGGTGCCTGCCTCGGCGTCCCCCAGGACGCCCCGTGCCCTGTCACTGGCTGCGTGGCACCCTCTCCTTGCCGACCCATCCTCCCCTCCCCCGCCATAATGCTCTGTCCTCTAGCCATCCCCGGCCTGCCGCCCGCTGTGAGCCCCCTGAGGTCTCCTTGGTTTCTCCAGTGCCCGGTGTGTAGCGATGGCTGCTAAATGCTTAGTGAGCAAAGGAATGAATCATGCTGCCTAGGGTTTTTTTTAATGTTATAAGTAATGGAAGCTCCAAGTGTGAGACAACAAAATAATTGGAATTGCAATGACTTTTTTTTAAGCTGGACATATTTAAGGGTCTTAACTGCCAATTTTCAAAGGATAACACATGGCTAACCGTCCTAGAACTGTGTCTTCTTTGCATTTTTAACACATGTAGGGAGGAGTAGAGATAAAGAACTAAGGAAGATTTAAAATCAGTCTTGGGTGTCAAATGCAAAAAAGAAAAAGGTCTCTTTATATTATATCCACTTGTAGAAATCCATATGACTAACTTAACACAGTTCAGAAGACATTAGTGATGCCAACGTTAGAAGCAGACTAAACCTTCCTTAGTTACAGTTAAATGTGACTGTTTCCACCTAATAAGTACAAACCAAACAAGATGTTTGCATTTTTAAGTAGACTTCTAATAAAGATTCTGATGGTCGTTATAGCTCACGTCTGTGGTTCATTAAAAACAATTCTCAGACCCCCTCATTTGATGTGGGTTTTTCTGACTTTGGGTTGAATCAGGTAGAGTAAATGCGGTCACATCAAAACAGACTCACGAGATGGGTAAGATAATGATGAGGTGCCCTATCTGTGACATTACGGGCTTTCCCTTTCAGAGAGCGGAACCTGATTAGCGAGGAACTAGCACGTCTATTTTGCGTTCTGGGGGGAAACGTAGAGTGAATTAGGCAGCCGCACATTGACCTCACCTCCCACGTCCAGTCCGTCACCAGGCCCTGTTCATTTTGACTCCCGACTATTCTTCAGTTCTCTCTGTTCTCCTTGTCTGTCCCACCGACAGTACCCAAGCCTAAGCTACCATCTTCTCTCGTAGATTCCTAACTGGTTTTTTATATCCCCCTTTGGCCTCCTACAATGGCAGAGTGGTCTTTTCAGAATGTGAAATGATCATTCCATTCCTCTGCTAAAAACATGCAGAGATTTCCCACTTTATCACTGTCAAGATAAAGACCCAAGTCCTTAATTTGCCTCATGAAGTCCTGCGTGGCTGGGCCCTGCCTGTTCATCTCCAGGTGCATTTTGCATCAGTGCTGCCCCTCATGCTTTCTGGGTCTGGTCCCACGAGACTTCTTGCACACACCAAGCTCCTTCTTGCCGCAGGACCTTTGCACATGCCATTCCTTCAGTGGGGAACACACTCCCATCGTCAGTTCAGACAAAGCTAGCTCTGACCCAGGACCACAGTACTTCGGAGTATCTTCCGTGCCTCCCTATGGCAGGTACCATAAGTGACTTCGCATGTATTTGTATGGTTATGTGTTTAGTATCTCTCTCTCCCCCATCAGACTCAGTCTCGCTGATGGCTGCCCTGGGTCTGCCTTTTGCTCACCATTGTGCACTCACCACCTGGCAGTGCCTGGTACAGGGTAGACACTCAAAATAGAGGTGTTGAACCAAAAATGTGGACATCAGCAAGAGGCCTGTGCAGGCCTCCCCCTCCCCCAGCCCTCTGCAAAACTGCTGACCGTGCACTGCCATTTTCTAACCCAAGAGGAAGCCCACGCCTCCTTGTGCAAAAAGATAAAGTCATTTCTTCACTAGAGTGAAGTTACCACAGAAGTGAAATGTGCGTGCAGTCGGCCTTCCTTAGTGCTTTTAGGCTCTCTTTTTCTCATTCCATGATTAGAAATACCAGGCCGTGACGTTCGGTGGCAGCTGTCACTTCATGTAATGAAATTGCAGCTGTTGCCACTTTTTTCCAGTCTGCTTTTTTTCTGGTTGGTGAGAATCCGCAGCTGCTGGTTTCTGGGGCCTACTAGCAATGTTTCAGATGAACAGACTTCAATATTTGAACAGTCGTCATATGCCAGCCAGAAGGAATCAACCATACACTCACGTACAGCCCTGCACACGCATGCCCCACCAGGAGGAGACGTCCTTTTAGAGCTGCGCCAAGCAGAAGTTCCCGACTGCAGAGTCAGCAGGGCAGCACCTGATCTGGATGCTTCGAAGAGGCGCTAGCGGTGTGGACTTCCAAGAAGCTGTGCAGTAGGGAGGGGAAGAGAATGGGCAGCAGCCTGTCGGAAAATTCTTGAGGACCTGGCCTGAGTTGGGTGAAGGCATGCATTCTCAACGGGGGAGACGACACCGCTAGGGGGCAAAAACTGGACAACTTTTTGTCTTGGAGGACAGGAAGTCTCAGCCATTACAATGGCTTGTGGTCCTCCAAGGGGGCCACAGAACATAACACGGTGCACCGTGGGTCTCTTTGGTAAGATTGCGTGGGAGGGAGGGGGCAACTGGGGGGTCTAAAAAGGCTCCTGGGGGGTAATTAATGGGGAAAAAGGCTGAGAAGCACTGAGTTGGGGAGAGGGATAAGGGAAGAGGCAGAAACTGGAAGTAGGAAGGAGAGAGAGGTGAGAGGCAGAGCGAGGTCGTGGCTGGGGCTGGACAGAACCAGACCAAGACCCCAGT